ACTCCGCTGTGGTTAAAAGTTACGAATTTTTCGAAATCGAACCTCGGTCGGTACGAAAATATCGAAATTTTTCGAAATCGAACCTCAGTTCGCTTCGCAAATATCGAAACCTTTCGAAATCGAACCTAGGGTGGTTCGCGACATCCCTAGTCTCAACGCCCTCGATCATCATGCCCGAGTCTCGATGAACTGGACGTTGACACACAAGGAGCCGTGTATGGCCATGTTCTGTTTCCGCTCAACTCGGCAAAGAGAGAACGTTTCGTCCTCCTCGACCAAACAAGAGCCCCGGAGCGAAGTATGAGACCGCCGTGCACTCCGCCGGTGAGCTGTCACCGGCCTCCCTCCAATGCTCTCACTGGCTATAGTCGGTTACAAGTCAAGAAGGTAGGAGAAGCTCCTCCCACAAGTGTGATGCGCCCGTTTCTAATCTCTCCGCAGTCGAAAGAAGAGTTCACTGGAAACGCTCCTTGTTCCGCTTCAATGGATTCCCACTTGTCTCCGATCCCACTTTTTAAAGGGCCCATGAAACAATTTTTGGCTTGGGATAAATCATTTTAGATTGGGATTTTACTAATAGCACATCAATCAGTGGGCCAAAAGAAAAAAGGTAGAAAGTCAAAAGCCTGACTTTCAGTGCGAAAATTTGAAAACACAGCGAACTATTTCGTACCTCCTCCCCTTCGTAACCTCTCCGCCTTTTCACTGTGATACATCCGCGGTCCCAAAAGCGCGTCGTCGGGTCCAAACTGACGTCACACGAAGCCGGACCTCATTTAATCCCTTCACCCCTAAGCTGACATGTGGTGGAAGCTACGCGCTTGCCGGACCAATCAGCCGCCTCCCTTTCATCACCAGACCTCATTCTCTGCAGCCACATTTGCCACGCTCACGTGGCAAAAGTGTGGCTATCGTCAAGGAGCACGTAGCTTCCACAGCACTGTCAGCTTAGGGGTGAACGGGGTAGGGAAAGAAACGTTTGCTTAATTTTGAGCGACGGGCTAATCTTCTAGGGGGACAATGGCTCTCTCCGCGTACACAAACCAGGTTCCGAGCGAGAGGGGCCTCCCTTCTTTTCGTCTTCTTGAACTGTTTGGTGGAATGCGCGATTTATGAGTTGAGGAGGAAAGCGAAACAGGAAAAAGTTGGAAAAGCGTTTCATGACCCCTTTAAGAAAGCGACCTTTGTATTCATCGGAGAGGGAACCGAGCCCCTGAAAGCAGCCTTTGTATCCATCGGGGGCGAAGCTAATCCCCGAAAGTCGTATTTGTTTCCGTCGGAGGGGGAGAACTCTAATCTCCCCCTCGTGGCTTCCACAATGCTAAGTCAAAGTCGAAAGATAAAGCAAATATGTACAGAAAGGCAAGACCCTCCTCGCGCGTTGTCCGCGACGTCACGGAAACAGTGGGACGCTATTGGATGCAAAGGTGGCGGAGGGATATCTGATTCCCTTTGAGGGGCATTTGCCGCTACCTTCTTAACCTGTAACTGACTATAGTTGTGGCCCTTTCGCTGTTTACCACGTTATAATTGCGGTACCAAGAATTTTGGAGTTTTTGTTTTTTGTTTTTTGTTCTTTCACTTTTCTTTCAGATTTGGTGTTTTTTTACGTTAAGTTTTGGTGTCGGACGAAAAATCGTGTTTTATCGAGGCTTGTGTTGATGAAATTATCACACAGGCATGCCATTTCCCAACCTCAAGGGAAAACACGCCTGATCTGAATGCTTTAAAAAGCGTCCCCATATCAGTATTAAAAACAAAAAAGAAAAGAAAAACAAGATGACTGGTGTGGTTCCGAAGCTAATGAACCCTCGCGGAAAGTTCATATATAGCAGACTCTTTATAGTCAATGCTAAAGAAATCTGCACACAAATATTCTATTCCCGTGAAGCTTCCGGGTTACTATTTGGGGTTTATCGGTATTCACGGAAGACACAGATCTATAATTATAAACTTCCAAAGCAAAAGTGAAACAAACTTCCCGCGTCACACATGCAGCCAGTTTTCCGTATTCGGAAAGGGTGGTGCCATCTATGAACTATTCCGCAAACCTAGTCCCTTTGCGCAAATTTTTTTTTTTTTTTTTTTGAAACATGGCGATAGTTTACTCGGAGTTCTAATAAGCGCCGTGAGGTGGCCTTACTTGCCTGTCTTGTGCTCCAAACTGAGTCTCGAGCACAGTGGTATCGGGGCTTGGTGATCAGAAATGACACATATTCCATCTCTGTCATTTCCTTTCGTTTACACTTCTGGGAGTGTCTATTTAACAGACTCTCGATTTAAAAAGGTTCTGCCTCAAAAACACCTTCGTGCATACGTAGGGGATCACCGAGAGTCACTCTAGGCCCACTCGTTGCTACGTTTTGTAATGGTCAGTTAGTAATTGTTTCATGCAACTTCAGAATCTTACAATGAGCAAAAAGTAATTGTTTACCAGTGCACGAAGGTCAAATGAGTTGTCGCAAGAAGCTCTCGACCTTTTCTGTTTCTAAAGGTGCGTGACTCAACCTCTGGCGCCGCGCTATACAAAGGGAGAATTTCTAACTTTAGGCGACGGACCACGTCTGGGAGAAACATTTAGAAGCTGATCGCGTATAAAAAACCTGGACGGTCAAATAAAATGAAAATTCACCGGTAATTACTGCACACGCGCATCCTTGGCAAAGAACGCCGTACTAATCCCGCACTAATCATGTTTCAGGATTGTTCCTCTCATCTGCCAAAGATTAAAAAAAAACCGGAGGGCGTCCCGCAGAAAGGCTGATTCGGGAAACAGGTAAAAAGCAACTTTTTAGCGGTGTTGGAGCCAGAGTTGAGTCAAAGTTCGCTGCGTTTTGGACCGACCGCTGCACTGGAACTATCGTGACTACCGTACTTATTCAAGTATAAGCCCGCGATTTTTTCCTCTGTGCAGCTTTATTAAATTAGAGGTTCAACTATAATCATTAACCAATAAGGTCGACCTGTATTATTACTACAAAGCGTAATTGCCGGGCCTATCGCGTTGATCCAGGCGCTCCTCCATGTAAGACGCTGCTCCTAGTCCTCCGGTGCAAAGCGCTGAAGGTGAATTTGACGTTATGATGGCGTTTAAGACCAGGACAAAAGGAAGACAGACAACACGGAGCGCTACTTCAACTGTTTATTTTTTAAAAATAGGGGTGAGGGGGGGGACATATATACACTCACACCGCTTCACCTCAGCCAATCCCAGGCCTCACCGTCGCTCGCAAAAACGCTAACTCTTTGTCTAACAGGTCAATGGAGGCAACGCTGACACATTGTGCTCCAAACTGTTGCGAGCGACGGTGAGGCCCGGGATTGGCTGAGGTGAAGCGGTGTGAGCGTTATATATGTCCCCCCCCCCCCCCCCCTATTTTTCAAAAATAAACAGTTGAAGTAGCGCTCCGTGTTGTCTGTCTCCCTTTTGTCCTCGTCTTAAGCGCCATCATGACGTCAAATTCCCAGTACCAACGAGCCCAACAATCTGCATTGATTCGCTGAAGGTGAACGCGCACGCGCTGTCGAAAGGGAATGAAGGTTGACGCCAGCGGCACAAGTGTCACGGAGGTCTAGAAAATACCCACAAAATTGATAGCCCAAAGTGCGCCAGCCTTTATGTGTCCTCCTGTCGGTCTTTTTTTTTTTATGCTATTTTTGAATGGCACATTGCGCTTGGAACTAGCAAAATGCTGGTGACGTCATTCATATTTTACACTTTTTGTCTGAAGTTGGAAAACGGGTCCGTCAGCGGAAGATTGTGACGCCAAAGCTTGGTACGGTCACAATGTACCATTTCCAGATATCGCCGGTTCGTGGGGTTCAGGTACGAAAATGCGCGAGCACGTCTTAAAGTGAGAGCGAACACTTCCTCGGCTAAGTAAGCCAGACTGGGCTTCCCTAAAGCCCCTTGTGTGCCTATTGTGGCTTAACTTTGGCTGCCAAGCTCCTTTATAAGTGTTTTTTTTTTTATCTCTTTCTGAATGCGCACATTGTTTCATTCTCAAAATCCTGCAATCCATTTTTTCGTCAGGTGGAGCCAGGGATTGAAAGCGGTTTCGTGGACACTCTCTTGTGTTAACTGTGTTTCCCTCTTGGCCTTTCTACTATTTCTGACAGTTTGAAGGTACAGGCGATCTTCCTCGCCCTTGGCTGGGGAGACACACCACTCGTTTTTGGTTGTTGATCAGATACAGAGGCTGCTGTCCTCTAGCTGATGTTTCCCCTGGGAGTGGACGTTTGTCGTTCACTCGCATACTCATCATCAAGTCTGGCTGCCCGATCAAATTCTAGTTCGGCTGTTAGGGATATGCAGTGCCGGACTATGTGTAGAGACCCCTATTTCGGAATACGGATTGAGCCGAGCCTGTCACCAAACTAAAGCACATCAGTTGCGATGCCAACAAAGCGTGAGTTCCCCTTGTTCCCTAAATCTTTCAGTACCCATTATGTAGCTTATCCCGAATTGTATCAAAGTGAACTTTGATTGCAGCAGCTAAGTCGCTACTTGAAAGTCGTAAAGATCACAACAGAATGGGCTTTTCAGCGCGCAGATCAAATGTAGAGCATCCCTTTCGACTTTTTTTATTATATTGCCAGCTTGCAACCTCCTTGTCGACTACCTGCCAATGTAATTCAATTTTTCAGAGTATTTGTACCCTACTCAAGATAGTTTGCTGTAAAAGTAACTTAAATACTACTCTATAGGTATTTAGTATCTTAAATCAGGTGTGGCACAATTCGTTGCCAAAATGAAATTGTCGCACAAGATGCAGCAGACTTTCATTCCTGGCGCAATATGGCGCACATTGCGCAGCACTTCCATGAATATAAAAGGTGGCAGACTGACTCTGCGCAACTCACCTGTAATCTGGTCCACGATATTCCGGCAAAAGGTTAGTGTTTTGCAACTGACCCGCTATATATCCAACGGTTTGTTACTATCCTCGACAACTGTCAATGCAATTAGAGGAACGTCAAGTATAAAAAAGACACAATGGTTCATAGAGTCATGATTTATTAAAAAAAAAGTTTGTTTGCAGCAGTACAAAGATTTGAGTTTGCTATGTACAAGTCACATTATAATCCAGACACTTCATGAAAATGAATGAAAATTTTGTTAGGGTTAAACCAAAACTGGCTGTTTATCACTGCTTAACTGGCTCAAATATATTCCCAATTATTCTAGCAGTTTCACCGTCGTAACACTTGTGCTCTAGATATAAATGACTCAAAGTTCCAGTTATGGAATTGATCTACGACCATCGCACAAACAATTCTTATTCGTGTCCGGATTACTATATGCTGATGATGATGATGGTGGTTGCTTGGCATTTTCTTAGTCTGAAAAACGCAGTTCTAGACCGCAGGAAAACAAAACAAAGTAAAACAAGAAGCGCACTGCTGCTGCTAGAATTCCAAGCGCTTGGACATACTTAGTGGCCGTGTTTACAACGGACGTGGTTGACGCACAATGGTCAAAGCCTGGCGCAGACAAGACACGGTCGCACGTTCACAACTAAAAGCTTTTCGTAACTAGCGAACTCTCTACAACAAACCACATTTTTGAGAGACTCTTGGCAGGTCGCCGCACCCACCGAAAATGTCCGGAGTGCGCTCCCAGGCGGGTGCGGCCACCGGAAACCCGCGCACTGAACTTCTCCGATGCTTGATGTCCGTTCACGCGCACAAATGAGCGGCGGCGTTGAAAGGCACTTCGTTTTGTAGGGAGGCATCACCGTATCCTTTCTCGCAGTTTTACACAAACGGTCTGCCTGCCTCGGGCGCTCCCAAAGTTCAAAGACTAAAGTGTAGCACTGGAAGAAACAAAACAAAACAGACAAAACGGACCACTCATTTGCCAGCGAAAACAAACGCGCACTCGCAGTCCGAACACAGGTAGTAGTCGTCGTAGTAGCCTCGCTGAACTGCGCACTGCAGGTTAGCGCATTTAGTGGAATGAGTCACTGTTACTTGCAAGGGCCTGAGGTGTGCCCCGTGCAGACGCCGGGGCCTCTTCCGTTTCTTTTTCCCTCCCTCTCGTGAGAATTAGAAGAAGATGCACTAATGAAAGCACACGCTTTCGCGGTCGACTCATAACTCCGTCACGGGTTTGCCTCGTGACTGTGACTGATGGGACCTTCTCGAAGACCAGCTCGTGAAGTTCGAACCAGTCATGTCAGATTTTCTGAAAGGGTGTTAAGAGTAGGTTACTCTCCCATGCCGTTAAGAACAGACTCAAAAGCCAAAAGCACATGCAGCTTGTCAGTCAACACAGGCCTTGTTAAAAGGGGAGAAGATAAGTACACTGCATCATTATGCATGAGATCCAGTCGTTACGGAACCGTCACAGCATGTTTAGCCGAGAAAAGGGAAGAGAGAGCTGTCACTTCTCAAATCATGAGAGACGACTCAAGTTGAGAACCAATCCCCAAGTAAACGTGACTTCCCCGATTTCTTTGCCTCTGGACCACAAGATCATCATCGCCCTTGGATGCTGAATAGGAAACCTTGAATGCTGCTGAGTTGATAGCAACTTGAATCCGAGTCGCTGAGTTGCTCTATCGCATCTTTGAGCCTACTGCGTTATCACAATGGCATGGGAAACCACTTACACAGTCTCAACATCCCTATTGTCGTACCAGCCATTTTCATTCTTCGCGTAGCGCTCAAAACGAGGACTGCGTGGCGGGTTTAGGGACGAGGCGCCGTCAGGAGCAGTTTGTCGTAGTTTCATCTTGTTGTGCTTATTTACAGAGTAGGTGTCAGTCATGCTGTCATTGTAATCCATGCTGTGGAGATGCACAATAAAATGGCAAGGGTTAGTAAACAGGTCATACAATCTGGCTTATGTCTAATGCTCACATTCGCTAAAAATTAGAATATCATCAGAGACACCACACGTCCGCACGGAAAAGTTAAGTGATAAGACGCCAGCAGCACAGACAGAAAAATTTAAGTTTGTCATTTTACATATATCGAAGCCTAGAATCTTACGCACAAAAACCAAACGTTCCTTGCTATAAAATGCAAAAAATCCTTGGTAATTAAGAAAACAGTAACTCTACTGTTCGTAAGCTACCAAAATTGTTGCAGAAATATATATATATATATATATATATACACCTGTAAAACTATTTCTTCCGTCTTACTGTAGTTTTTCTTTTATAACTTGACTCAGAGAAACAAGGAAGCAAGGAATGGAGGATAGCCAGACACTATGGCGAGCATTGAATTATGTTGCATTCACTGCTGGCCGTATTATCTGCTTGGCTGCTGTTGCTCAGGTACTTTTTATAACGAAGAAAACTTCTCAATTTGTATAAAACTTAAGAATGAATTGATTTTTTTTATAAAACATGAATTTGATAGTCAAAGTAGTTTTCATGCAGCACGTTGTCTAGTAAGCAACTAACCTCTATTTTTAGAGCGCAGCTCTTAGGCGCCCGTTTATGGCTTGAGCGGCATCGGCGTAATCGCGACCCCCGCGCCCCCCTCCCCCCCCCCCCCCCCCCTCCCCGAGGACCTAAGGAGGACCTCGGGTTCCTTCGGGAGGACCTTGGGAGGACCTCGGGTAGCTCGGTGACCTCGGGGAGGGGAGGGGGGGGGAGTCATGTGACCCCCCCACCGAGGTCGCGGGACCCCCCTGAGGTCCCGAGGTCACGTGACCCCCCCCCCCCCTGGGGTCACATGACCTCGGGGCGGGGGGGGGGGGGTTTAGTACCTTCAATACCTTCCCTACTCCTCCTCAAGAGCTGCGCTCTAATTCGGCGTTACCGGGGGTTGTAAACAGCTTTCACTTTTTCTTCCATTATCCTTGCATTCTCGGGCAAATTTTGTTGGGAGCACTCACAGTTCCCCTAATTCTCAATTGTGCTCACTGACATTTGCAAGGGCTTACATTAAAAATTTGTAATATTTATAGCACCCACAGAAAGTTTGCTTAGAATTAAGAGTTTTTGTTTGCAACTATTTTGAAAGTTTGTACCTAGGGTCAGAGGCTTTCAGCTCTTTTAGTTTGGCTCTGCCAAAACACCTCATCCTTTGCTCAGTCTCACCAGTTATACCTCGTTACCATTTTCTGTGCAAAAGTTAGGCGTCATTTATACAACATGTCTCGACGTTCAAGTGCAATAACTTTATCGTAATGCAAAACTGAAGCTTAAAAACCAGCTGCAAGAATCATCAATATGCAAATTTGTTTCCTAAATAAAATAGGTCGTAACTAAAGTTTAGAAAATAACAAAGATAGGAGAATCAACATAGCCTGTGAAATGAGTCTGCTTATTTCCTAAGCTGAACACTGAGGCTACCTGGGTAGAATATAATAACGGACAATAAATTTCACACAAAATTTTATATTTTGAGCCGTGCTGTACGTTAGTTTAAGTTTAGATTACAATGTTACCTAACCAGCTCTCTTGCATAATTTTGTTTTCAAATGTTTCTTGTAACCATATATGATGTAATGAGCTTGAGAGTAGCTGCGAAATACTCAAACATAGCACTATACTTACGGTACGTCGTCCACATTGTTGTACTGCAGATTGGGAGGGGGCACCCCAATGGGGGGTGGGCCTGCCGAGACTCTGCCACCGTATGGGTTCCCCACAGCCTTGCCCATGAGAGGGTTTTTGATACTGTAAAGTCGCTGCTGCTCCCATGTCTTCTGACGTTTGCGCAGTTTCCTGAAACCGCAGTGACCCTTATTTTATAAGAATGAACAAACAATAAAGCTTAAATATGGCTGTGAAATAAATGTACCGTAAAATACCTGGCAAGCGCCCACTAAAAATTTAGAGATAATCGCGAAAAATTGGGGGATGGACGCTCAATTTTACATATCAATGTACTGTGTATATTTTCTCAGATCTTACAAATTTGGGAATGGGCACTTAGTATTGAATGGGCGGATATCGGTATTCTACGGTATACATAAAAATATACCTAAAAATATGCAACCATTCTTCTATTTAAGGTTTAAGAAAAGAATTGGTGCGTTCGACAGACCATATTGGCTGTGACCATATTATATAAAACTCATAAGCAGCTGAACTGGCTGAAGAAAATGCCCAACTCCGATTGTGACAGAAGTAGCCTTCACATTGGATCAGCATTGCATGTTGGAGTTTTATAGGATAAACACTGATCGCAATCCCCCCAGTGTTTCAGGTACTCTTCATAAAACACGAAGCTGACTGACACCTTTTCTATAACACCACTGTTAACATAATAAATGTTAACATAATGTTTAGAAAATATGGCTGCATTTAAAAGTATAGTAAGCGAGAGGTCTGGATAATATGATATAAAAATATATCTTCAAGAAAGCCAGGTAATGTATTTTTAAAATGTGCCAGACTTCTATCCAGTCAAGGGAACAAATTTACATTGGCAATAAATGCGATAAACAAAACAAAATGTTTAATTCCTTAGCCTTCCTTGCAGCAGGCAAGGAACAATGTGAAGGTTCAGCTGCCCTCTACTTACTTTCGTTGGCACGATGAGCAAAGCAGGACAATCCCCAAAACAGCACCAAGAAAGATAACACTGCTAAGCGCAATGATGGCAATCTCGGTCGTTCCCATCTGACTGATTTTCTCTTGCACTGAGACGCCTTGGATGCGCCGAATGCGGAAGGTCTCAAGGTAGCGCACAATCACCTGAGAGTTCTCGTTCAGAACACTGCAAATAAAATCATGCCATTAACTGTGCACCTCAAGAGTGTTCAAGTGAGTCAAAAAGAAGCCACAACGACAACATGAAAGATTTAAATGAAATCATCTTTAATACTACTGTAGCATCAACTTTTTTGACACTCACAAAGACACCCTTCTTCTGCCTTTTCTGAACTTCTTTGCCTTTGTCTTTTCTGAACTTCTACGAAAGTTCAGAAAAAGCAAAGCCCAACTGTGAAAAGGGTGTTGGTATTCTAGGCCTACATTACTATTTATTTTTAAACCACATGCTACAATTGTAAGTACTAGAGGTATCCAGAGGAAATATTCTAATCAAATATGCCTTTTGGGAAATTCTGGAGGATATCATACCTTCACGCACCATGTATAGGAAGCGGAATTACGGATACCTCGCTTCAAGTACTCAATAATGCTTAATTTTTTTTAGTTTGCACACTGTGAGCTCCCAGTCATTACTATCCAACAGCTTGCAGAAGGCATATTAATGGATCTGAGAATAGATTTCTTACTTGAGCAAAGTATCAGTGTCGACAATCTCGTTGGTATCTTTGTTGATAGCATAAAGGAACAGGTCCGACCTAAAAATAAAAGGCATGCAACAGAATGTCAATGTAAGGCAAAGGTATATACTGTAAAGGACTTAATTTTCGCGGGCTCAAATTTTCGCAAATCGGGCCAAAGCTGAAAATTTGAAATTATTCGCGGGTTCTAATTTTCGCGAATCGAGTGTAGCTTCCGTAGCGTTCACATATTGCCCGCATTGTTCGCGGGTCGTATTTTTCGCGAATTGTAGGCGATTCGGGAAAATCGCGAAAATTAGATCCTCGTGAAAATATAGTCGTTTACAGTATTCTTCGTTTGGATAGAATACGCTCCCTACTTTAATAGCCATGCACCAGATTTCACCTATACAATTAACAGCTCTACTTCAAGCTTTTAAGTTTACGGTAGTTTTTTTGTAGGAGATCATTTGAAGGTCAACTCACGACTCAGGATGCTCCATCTCGTCTTCATGATGTGGCTCCAGCTTTGCCATTTTAACTTGGAATCCAGTAATATTTCCAAGGTATCTATAACAAAAAAACAGCAATTACCACTCGAGAGCTTCTGTTAATGAAACATATTTCTTAGCTCCGCACTAAGCATGTTTCTGTCAACTAAAATGTTTCGTCAATTTGCCTTAGTATTTCCTTTGCCACGCCCTAGAAAGAGTGAAACATAAAAAAGCGACTAAAATAGAAAGTCGAACCTCGTTATATCCAGCAGTGCGAGGACCGTGAAATAATTCTACATAACCGAAATTCGATACACAAAATCATACCAAAAACGCGTCAAAGTGCAGCGCGATTTGATCACTCAAAAGCTAGCGGCAAAAATGACTACTCATGTAAAGCGTTAAAATAAACTACTTATTTCGGCGAAAAAAACTGACGCAGCGTAGACTGCTTCTTGGAGTTGACCGCATGCCTTATCACGGTCCGATCCACGGTCTCTAAACAGTTCACCAGTGCCAGACCACTGCCGTCTTCCCGACAATGTCGTAACGGGCCTTGAAACGCTGTAGCCACCCACTACTTGCGGCAAAGTTTTGTGCCCAGTGAATGAACGCGAAGTCCCTTGCTTTCTGTTGAAGCATCGGCCCCGACACCAGAATGTTCCGAGCCCTTGCGTCCATAAAGTACTTGCGAAATGATTTTTCCACGTTTTCGAAGGCCGGTGTACGAACACGGCGAGGGTCGGAGCGCTTGCTTTGTTCAGCCTTCGATTTAATGTCACTCTTTGTCTTCAGCAGCGTGCTCAAAGTGCTTCGCGGTATGTTTTACGCTTCGGCAACGCTAGACTTTTCTTCTTTTTCAGCGTGGCGGATGATTTCAAGCTTCGTCCCAAACGTCAGCGACGTACATTTATTCACGTTTGATGCCATCAGTACGCCACACGCGGTTGACGCAGCGTCGGAAGAATGAAACCAATGAAACTGCGAGAGCTACGCAACAAGCGCATAAAAAGGCGATGCTGGCGATCGCGCTTACGGATCTCAGAAGCCATGGACACGACTGGTTACTGAGCTGACTGAGCCCGTATGCCGCAGAGTCTGGATGGCGCTCCCGGCACCGGAGGCATAAAGCTCTATGCGGGCATGCGCTTGTAAAACTCGTAAACAACTGCTGCGCCACCGCTATCCTTCGATGTGTTGCGGGAAAGCCCGCCGTGTCCTGTAATGTATTGCGGGAAAGCCTGCCGCCTCTCTCCGAAGCCCACGCTTTCCGGCGCTGCGGAGTTTGATATACTCATTTTTTAACCGACCGAGTTTGCTATACAAAAATTTACAATGCTTGTAATTCATATTACAGTTCAAAAACAATTCGATGTAAGCAATAATTCTATATATCCGTGTTCGATATATTGAGGTTTGAGTGTACAAGTCTTACTTGAATTTAATATCCAATGTCTAATTTGGTAGCAGTCATTTTATAATCTGAATGAAGCTTCGTTAATGACAGTCACATTTCGAGGAAACTGAGAGCTGGAAATATTCCACTGGAGACAGTAAAGCAAACCACTAATGCATTATAATACAAGTACAGCTGCAACAATTTTGTACCATAATAAATAAGCTAATGAGCATAACTAAAAATTACATAACAAAGGTATTGTGGAACTTCGCACATATATTTGGCAAGAAGTACTTTCCGCCACAAAGACAGTGGCTTTCAAAATGGTATAATCAAAACACTTACCCAAGAATCCTGTCAATATGTTGTTCCACATGCACTGGTGGAGTGTCAGTAACAAACAAGACTAGTTTGGTTTCAGGTAGGACGTAAACCTGGAAATAATAAAAGTAAACAATAAGGGAAAACTTGTAGAAATAAACGCAACCACAAAACAGAAAAAAAATATTAACAGCACTATAGTTTATAAAATCCCAAAAACAGTCTGTACCCCTGCTAGTATGTATACCAATATTGCATGTTGTCATAAAATTTACAGAATGCTCCATGATGGGTTGTGCTAATTCAAATTCATATGAGAATTCTAATAATATTACTGTGCCTTTTGTCATGGACTACCCCGTTCAATATTTAAAAATGGAATCATACATGAATATCTGGACGTATACACGACCTATACATCAAAGATATGTATGTATGCAGTGACACATCAGTTAACCTTGAAATAAAGTGTCAGGTCTGAACCGGAGAGGCCTAACTTGGACAGCGCAGTACATCTACCCCCGTTTCACAGTAAGAACTCTACGAGTCATCTCTGCCCATCCCCTGCTGTGAACCTATCACAGGACTAAGCGCCCCGCACGTAGCTGCATCCGTCCCGACGGTAAAGTGCCACTCACACCGTATATAATACGCCTTTTTAGCGCGTATCCCCCAGGTGAAAAATACTGCATAATAAAGCGGCATAATCATGCTGCTTCGTTATATTATACCGTTTCATTCTGCAGCATGCCTCACTCATTTTGGTCTTGATGTTGTCGTGCATTATACTGACTTGCATTTATGTAATCACCCAAATGATTGACCGCAGCGGGCGCTACGAACCATCAGAGTCATTCCAATGGTCGTTGTCTTTTGCGCCCTGCAATGACCATGATTTTTTTTAACTGCAGCCTAAGCTTTCGTTTTAGATGCTGCTGAGCTGTAGAGTTAACTTACTTTGTTTCCGAACATAGTACACAACCTTATTCTTTCCTTTTCCTTCATGACGATCACCTATTTATATGCTGCTTTAGTTAACCACTAGTTTAGGTTTAGCTCGCTCTACCACAACAACACATGACTCCAGCATTTTGCAAAGACGGGACACTCACAAAGACATTGGCAACGGCGGCATTTCCTCCTTCCGACCCCTCACGATCGACGGCCTTGACGTCGAAGCCGTACATCTTGCCGCCGTCCAAGGAGAAGGTGACCACAGAACGCACCACCCCAGTGACCGGGTCGATCTGGAACTTAGAAGAGGCGTCTTCGGCCTTTTGGATGATCTCGTAACGAATGGCGCCGTTGAATCCAGTGTCAGCGTCGCGCGCCTAGAAAGCAAAGAAGAAGCATTGGAGTAATGGTATTGAACACCAGCACCATGAGTATTTGTGTGGCTCATAGTCTCCTGGTGCATATCATGTTTGTTTACTGCTGGCTGACATTGTTAAGGAAGAAAGTAAAAGAGAACAAAATGAACAAAGAGTAATAAAGTCCTCCTCCAATTGTTGGTGTTTTGCTATACCATCACTATATGACTTTGTAACAGCATCTGTTATAAATTCGATGAGCCTCTCTAAACTACTTATTTCTTGGGAGCAGTTTCTTTTAAATGGGATTATCAGCGTCACAATTGCATAAATTAGTGTTGCTTTATAAATAAGACGTCCTGCATATATGTGTGAAGTTTTGCCATGGGGCTTGTGCATAATTTTGTCACCTTGAATTTCAAATTGTTTAACTTTTGGTAGTGTCAAATATATGCATGTTATTTTGTTGCCAACCTTGAGGAATTTTACATTTAAACTACTACTTTGAGTTTCTACCTGCTGTAGCTGTGAACTGAAGGCTAATAGCAGTAATTGCTGCTAAAGGCGTTTTCTGGCATGCATGGGAGACAACCTTGTTGCTTTGATTGGTTCATATTGATCACCCTTAAATGCGGGTGTGCACTGTAGGACCTTACGATCAGGCTAATTGAAACCTGCCAGTAATCTGCAATGGAACCCCTTGAATTGTGGTCTACAACTTTCAAATTAATACTTCTGATCAGATGAAAGCCACAAGCAGTTGAGGATAATAGCTCATTAGTAGCTCATGTTACCGTTACTCGCCACAGTCTCTTCTCTTGACTGACACCTATTGCTGCTCTCTAACTCCCAACAAACATTGAAGTTGCCCAGCTTGAACCTTAGGCACCACAGGAAGCTGGGTCAGAAACACTACTTACATGTAATTTGGTAACTTGATAGCCGAAGGAAGCTTCCAGAGGCACGGCAGCCACTATGGGTTTGCCCTGGTGGTCAAAGACGGGCGAGTTGTCGTTTTCGTCGCCCACATTCACAACAACGAGGGCTTCGTCGAAAGCGACATGCGCCGTGTCCTCTTCGGGCTTCTTGTTTCTCTTTGCTGCAACAATGGTGACAAGGGAAAAAAGGGCATCTAATCCACTTACGTTCTACAGGACACGCATCTACTGTGCTACTCGGAGCGGCTGTTGACTTACCCGCATTATCGCGCACCGCTCGACCAACCCGTTTCTTGTTCATCGCTCGAACCTTCACGACGTATTTCGACATCGCCTCCCTGTCGAGGCTTGATGTGACCGACAGTCTCCCGGTATCGGGCTCGATTGCAAATAAGCCTGAAATGATGTAATGAAGAAAGAGGTAAGAGAAATATTGTTTTAGAGTCTCATCCCTTAACCAAATACCAAGTACTAACTCAATTGTCATCTAAAATGTCAGACCCTCAAAACCACCGAAATGAGGACAGGTTACTAAACGCAAGGTTCAAAGAAGATTCGAGTGAAGCAAGAACTCACACGATTAGTGGCGTGCTTGCGAGATTTTATCCAACCAGGTAGGTCAAAAGAAAAATTAAAAATTCATATCACTAACCATTGTAATTGTTTCCGACGATGGTGTATTGAACAGGCCTATGAGCAATCTCGTCCGTCGCATTCAGATCAAGAACCACTTGTGGGGCAAGCTGATTCTCGAACACAAGCACATCGTACATCCGCAGAGGGAACAGGCGGACGCCTTGGCCGCTACCGATGATGATATTCACCTGAAACCAAATCAAAAACTTTATTTAGCATTGACAACCTATAATTTGTTCAAATATTTCATTACCAACGTCGGTATAGCATGTTAGCCGCCCGTTAAAGCTGCCCTTTCTACATAGAGCATAATCAGGCTCTTACACTTTCCATGTTGCTTACCTCAGCGTGATCCGATTTTGGAGGATCCCCGTCATCCGTCGCAGAAACAACGAGACGATAGTGGCTCTGATGAATGCTGTCGAGAGCCTTGGCCAACCGAATCTCGCCATTGTGCGGTTCTACCGAGAACGTATCCACTTCTTGGGGGTCTAAAAAAAGTACAAAGGAAGGCAGTTAGGATACACCACTAGAAACCAAAATATAATGTCAGCAGATATGTAAACAATTGCACCAATGGACAAAATGGTTGATTGGGCTGGTTGGTTTATGTTTATTCACGCGACAGTGTCTTAAAAAAACGGGAACAAGAAACACAAGACTGCACAGAGCGCCATGTGCTGTCTTTTCTTCCTTGTCTCCGTTTTTCTGAGGCGTTTTCATCGGAATGTGCACCAATAGACAACACCTATGGTCATTCATTAATCAAATGCAACCATTTCAAATATCTTCTCTCACTGCATAATGAAACAGACCACCGTAAAATACAGAGCAAATCCACACCCAAAATGTGGAGATAATTCTGAAAAAACTGGGATATGTGTGTTTTGTATGTATGAGACCAAAATTGCACATGTGGGACATGGTATGGAGGGCTTTACCTCTTTGTACCAGTGTGCTGGGAGAAGCGACTGACGCAGAGGAGCGTCTTGGTAAGCCAGGTCCACTGAGAAGCCTGGGTGGGCACTTGACATGCCCTATGCTTGGTTTTTAAACGTGTCAATGCCTTGGAAGGTGTTTATTGTGACATGGGCACATGAACGGTAGTCTATGGTATAATGCTAGCAGTCTAGATATTTAACCGTTTCACGCAATTGTGAGAATCGGCCCCGCCATCGCCGTGAAGGGACGCGGGAACATGCTCTTTTCTTGGCGTGTTTGCGTTTGCACGTGTGCCCCGGTGTGTGGGCGAACTGGCGACGCTCGTGCGAGCTGGGGCAGGGGACATTTTGGAGAAGAGAAGAAGAGGAGGAGAGCGCGTGGTGGGACCTTTTTGAGAGATTCGAAAATTAGCTTGGCTTGTAAATAGACGTGTTTTTTTTCCTCCTATCCGCGGAGTCCTGTCTGGTTTACTATTCCGTCAGCGACCATCAGCTGCCTCTGTCGTCGGGTCCCGGCGCAATCTCAAAGAAAGAACATCTTCACTGCAATGTTCAGACAACGACAAATGACTTGTATTTTTTTTTCAAAAGGCTTCTTGCTATTATTACTTGATTCTGAGCATATATGTGCAATGAAACAAGCAGAGTGCCATTAAAATATCTAAACTAGCACCACCACAGCCAGCAAGTTAAAGCGTGTCTATAAATTATTTCGAAAAGGTATTCACCAAGCGAAGAATTAGCGATATCAGACAGACTACAAAATTGTAGCCACCTTTGAAGGTTTTCTTCTGACCATATCTTTTAAGATAACCATGATTACCCTGAAGTTAGTGAGAATACAAGCAGGCACAATTTCGGAATAACAAAATTTGCCATATGGGCTGTACATAAGTACACCATTTCAAAATGAATGGTGAATTGAAATATAATCTCTGATAAGTTTTCATCATCACCAAATACAAAGCAAGTGTCGATCGAAATTCGGCAACTAATTGTAGTAAAGTCAAGAACGAGCACTTGTCCAAGTCAGATTTACCAATCCCATGCCTACTTAACCAAAACCATTTAATCTAAAAAAAATTCCGTTGGTCGAGTGCTGGATGCACAATTCATTAAATTCACTTTTTTTTTTTTTTGTTTTCGGTTTGGGATTTGGTATAAAGTGCAAGCAAAACAAACATCCCTTCGAGCATCGAAGCTAGATCTTGTTGGTTCTATTGAGCTATGATACCATACCTTGAGCTTTTGAGACATCGTCTCTATGCCTGTTGTAGCTTATTTTTAACCCCCACGTTTGTACAAGGTACCTTTTTTCGCCTGCCGTCCCCAACAGCGCCCTCTGTTTTCCGCAGTTCGCTACCAAAAAATCTTCAAATCAAGTCTTGAACAAAAGAAACCGGTTCTTCCAAAAATGGTCAATTGTACCACAAAAAAGGAAGGAGTGACTCACTGTCGAGCGTGTAGAGGAAGTTTCCTGGTCCCGCATCCAGAGTGTAGACTACGTCGCCCACTCGCGTATTTTCCGCGACCTCCAGCGTGTAGACCGACTTGGGAAACTCGGGCACCACATCGTTCCTGTCCGTCACCGTCACCCAGAGCTTGGCCATGGCGCTCATACTGGGCTTGCCCTGGTCGTACGCAATCACCGTCATGTTGTAGAACTCCTGCTTCTCAAAGTCCAGCTTGCTCAGTGTCCACACGGTGCCATCTGGAATTTTGTTTTAAACAATCCGTGCGAAAGCAATTAGAAGTGAACTCTTTATTTTGCGGAGATAACCCATGTAAGGTACACTCCAGGGTGTGGATCAAAGAGTTGTGCAGTAGTAAGTACCCAGGTTTGAAAATAAAGGCAGTAAACAGGCAACTGCTTCAGGTTACATATAATCGAAACCGGAGACGATGGACGACAAAGGACACAAACATTTGTTCGTGTGTTGCGTCGCTTGTGCATTGTGTCATTTCTGTGTTGTCCCCTTTTCGTCCCTTGTCTCCGGTTTAGTTTATGTGCAACCCAAGTCTGATGGTCAAAGGACCGCTTTTCAATCAGACCGGCATCGAAATTAATCCAATGAAATGGTAGTTTCATTTGTCTAGAAAGAATAAGAAAAACCTCACTTTGCTGCTGAAGAATGTTGTCTCATTATGCTATTGTCACCTTAGGTAGGTTGCAAAAACATGTTAGTAATCATGTTTCAAACTCACAGGGTTAAGAAGATATGGTAGATGTTGATAAATTGGAAACTAAAATGGAAATAGTAATTAAACTCTCCCACAAAACATGCAAAATATATCACTTTTTGCAGATACCTACCTTCCTCAGCAGCAAGTTTAGTGGTATCGTTGATATGCTGACTGTCTTACCTTTGCTGTCGATATAAAACTTGTTGTCATGTCCACCTCCCAGCTTGTAAAAGACAAGTCCATTTTCACCGGTGTCAGGATCGAACGCTCGAATTTGCGTAACCTGAAAATGGTGATCAGTCAGTTCGAGCCCATTGATTACACTTTTGATGTAGGACGCAAACAAATCTTTACACAAACTTAAAATCCCACCTTCTGGCCAGGGTCTAAGTTTTCTGGAATCTGAGCCAAATATGGATCCGTGAAGAACCTAGGTTTTTCATCATTGGCGTCCTCAATGGTCACAGTTACGTTAACGGTTGAGTTCTGTGGTGGGTCGCCATTGTCCAGAGCCTGTTAAAGCAAATGTAAACCCGTGTGTAAACAAATCATACTCAGCAGCATCACCAATCCAAAACAAACGCCAAAAAACGTACGAGAACATGGAAGTAGTAGTTGAACTTGGTTTCTCTGTCAAGTACACCAGTCGCAAATAATTCTCCGGTGTGAACATCTACGTGGAAGGGCAGATCTGAAGAAGTAAAAAAATATTACGATTTAAACTAGATTCTTCTTCAAATATCTCATACAGCGAGTCACAAAATGTTTCCTACTTAGTGCTTTTTTTTAATATCATACCTTTAAACATACAAAAAGGACAACTTTTTATCTTGGCATGTCTGCAATGCCTCTCTGCTAATGCAAGCACGGAATGCATAGAGTTAACTATGATTCTCTGTCTGCAACATCTTTTGTTTGGCTAAAGTTTATTAACATTTATGAATACTTTCAATATATGTTCTCGTGTTTTACTGTGTTTTGTGATGACATGTTTTTAACCTAATTCCTTCGGCGGACAGAAGTATTAATTTCCTCATTCATTTTTTTTAATTTCCGTTTTGGTTAGACGTTTGTAAGTGTAACGGCTCTCTATGCCTAAGGATATTGTTTGTTGGAAACAAACAATAAATAGAAATTAAGAGCAGTTCCATTACATTCCATGAATGAGACAAATTGAGCTAGGTCATTATGTGAATGTTTCAATAGGTTCTAATGAACGTGGATGATCCGAATTATCTATGCTAGTACATTGGACTATGCTAAATTTTTATTCATAAGCGCTGTAGTGAGTTATTCCTGTACTCACCTAAGCTTCCGTCTTAATAAACTTTGTTTCAAGGGCATTGAGCCCTGCTAAATGTTTATCGAGGCTCTGGTGTATCGTGCTATTTCCTTCTGCATTCATCGTTTGCGCGGTACGTCTTTAAATAAAACTTCCTCAGAAAACTGAAGGAATCTTTCATTCAAACGCAGTGACACTTACTCTGGTCTTTCCTAGAAATAATAGCGTAATCCACAGCGCCATTCTTGCCGCGATCGTCGTCCACAGCTCGCAAAACACCCAACCTTGACCTCTGCTCTTTGTAGTTTCCTTCCAAGATGGTGAAGCTGTACTCTGGCTTCACGAAGGTTGGCTTGTGGTCGTTTACGTCCAGCACCGTGATGTTCACGACTATGAGGTTGGCAAGACCACGGCCGTCAGCGGCCGAAACGTTCAACAGGTAGACCGTCTCCGGCTTCAAAGCTCCGACCACAAAGATCTCGCCTGCAAGGAAATAATTGTTCGTGTTGAGGTGAGTGCAATTTAAAATGTTAGGATTGTCAAAGTGTTTTCAATGACTACAGCTGCGTGTTCGAGAATTAATTTTGTTTCAACTTTGTTCGAAGTCAGAGTAGGAGTCAACAATATATCTAGGCATGTTCTTTACCAAGGGCGTAATGTGGTTGGCAACTGCGTAGCAGAATGTGACTATGGCATACATTATTTTGGTGATAATTATGTCTCACAATGGCATCAGCAGTCTTAGTCAACATTAAGCGAAACTTCGACTAATTTCCAAATAGTGTTTGCTACTAAATTTGATTCCAATATGTCTTTATTGTATAAATTGTTTAAGCTGTTTCAATATTCAAAAATTACGAATAATGTCGTCAGAATTCTACAATTCCTTACATTGAGCTTCACGACTTTCCATATCACGAGGAGAAGCAGCTAACAGATCGGAGCACCTCGGTTGGCTCGATGGACTAAACAATTTCGCTCCAGGTCAGCCTTTTTAGGTTAAAATTAGAGTTTCAGCCTTAAAGGTCAAGTCCGCTTCATTTTTGTTTTTGAAGAAACAATGCAGCCCTTTTCAGTATCACCTAGTTTAAATACTACGACCTAATTCTTTCTAAATGTTTCTTTAACGGTCCCGCAAACTTTGCAAAATGCCAAGTTGTCGAAATCGGCTGACTCTAGCAGGAAAACTGAGGCGTAAACAACAGAGCAATCAAGGCTTCGTCGTGGGCTTAGCCCACATTGAGCTAAACGTGATTACCATTGCCCCTTTTTGTTTGTTCTTACTTTTCTGGGCAACCGTAACGAGTGACGTCAGCAATGTTTTGTCTCGGCGCTTAGTGGTTTCCACGTGATTGCCGTAACGCGTCTCCGCAGCGCGTTTTTCGGGAACCGTCCGGCCGCCCCGCCCCTTACCGCGGTCTCTTGTGTACTAACCGCCATCCTTTTCTCATCGTTTGTGATTATTTCCTCTCGACGCTTGGTTCACACTACGTACGCAGAGTGATGCTGCAATTGCGCGGACGTCGTCGAATGTCGTAGACACCAAAACATGATGAAGAGTGAGTCTGGCACACCCACCACAATTCCGACCGTGGTAGCATAGACGATCACGTGAAATTTCGGACCACGTGATAGCCATGTTTTTGTCGGCCGGAGGCCAGTATCGCCAGACGGAGCTGAAGTTTCGAACTCGATTTCTGCTCACGTTTAAAGTAAAATTTAACAATATATAGCCCATTTCGCGCGAAGCAAATGGGCTATATATTGTTAGAGCTATTAGTGCTTTTGAATGTTTAATAAATCATTCTCCAAAGTTTCCGCAATTGAGCGGAGTGGCCTTTCAACTAAAATGTAACATCAAGCTTTATTTAAGTAAAGCAGTTATTGCGCTGCTTGTCAAGTTGTGTTATGTTTTACCCAACTAGTCTTGCTATAGACTGTTTTCTTTTTAATACAACTATGAAATGTTTATTCTGCAATAGGACTCCGCCTTTTACGAGGTATGTTTTCTAGAAAACGATTTGAGCCGTCGTTTATTAAAGTGGTCATGCTCAATTCAGATTAAATGCAAACATTCATATTAGAAAATCTTTGAATACACCTTGCCGTCAACTGTTTTATATTCGCACAAATATAATAAAGTTCATTCTCCTTCTTTCTGCTTGCGTTCACAGTAGCTTATTACGATTTTAGAGCAGGTTTGTTACAAAATAATTTGCTGAAAATTTATGCCACAGTTTCATTGTTCATCTGAAGAACGTTTCTCCCTTTTTCCATAGGTTTTCACTTCAGAAGACTAAGAGTGCTCACCAGTCTGCCTGTCGATTCGGACGTTGCCCCTGCTTCCAGAAACGATAGAGTATTCCACCTTGGAGTTGGGTCCCTTCTCATCAGCATCGATTGCCGAGACTTGCGCCACGCGAGCTCCGGGTCTAGCGGTCTCTGGCAGTAGCACTCTCAGGGGCCCATGTTGGAATGAGGGAGCATTGTCGTTCTCGTCTTCTACCTTGATTGTCAAGTAGGTCGTTGAACTCAAATTGCCCAAATCACGTGCAGTTACCTGAAAGTTGATATTAACAAAAAATGAAGCAAACGATAGTCATTTTTATTAGCTCAGAAGAGCCGCGGTACCGCTGAGGGGCAGCAGCCTGAACTATGGCTGAAAGTGATCCCACAAACGTGTTGCAAGCGAAACTTCCTTAAAACAATTAGCACAATAAACATTTTTTAGTCTACAGTCGCTTCTCCTGAGCTTAAAAGTTCTATACTGAAAGTAAAAACAACGAAGGCAATACAACCGAACAAAATTAAGGAAAACTTGTTACCAAATGTCACTCGAGAAAGGTGGTATAAAACATCAGAAATTTACAAATTTCACCCCTTTCCTCCACTATCGTTGCGAAGCCTGACGCTACACAAAAGAACTGCGTACGCATTTTGTGCGTCAATTTTCTGAACGTCATTGTGCATGGAGTTTCTGCTAGAAATCCCTGTCTAAACTAGTGCTCAATCAGGAAAGAAACGGAAAGTTCGAGACTGATCCGGTCACACACCCAAGCTTTTTCTCTGTTACTCCGCATCTCCCCGTTACCTCTAAAGAATGCCCTTTTCCCCGTCGCCTCTTACAAACTTTACCACCATACGTACGACCGCACTCACTCATCACTTTATAGATAACATGGTCGTAACTCTGCATTTTCTACATCACCTACCAGTGGTCAGGGCAGGGCATACACTGGACTCGTGTACTGCATCAGTGTTCCGCTGGAACTCGTGTTCTATCAGTACAGACACAAGTCCCAGCGAAAAGCTGACGCAGCGCTCGTGCGATGTACCTCAGTTACACGAGATGCGCTACCACAAAGTGCGAGGAGCCAGCCATTTATAACGAATTTCGAATTCAAAACAAGCTGTCGCAGTCGTGGATGACTTCTAAACAAGCAAGCAGAAATTACGAGTCAAACGTTTGGGGACTCACCAGAAGCTCGTAGCGGTCGGCCAGCTCACGATCGAGGACAGAGACTGGGTTTCCACCACTGAAGATGACCACCCCAGAATCGAGAATAGAAAATAGATCACTGCCAGAGCCTCCCAAGGAGTAATGAACGACAGAGTTGTTGCCGCTGTCCTTGTCTATGGCCATGATTGACGGTGTCTGTGGTCGGAATAACGAGCCAGTATTAGTGTTAAACTGTGCGTATTCAATTATACCCGAACATAGATCCAGGTAATAGGCCTTACCACAGTGACTAGGGTTCCTGGAGGCGAGTTCTCCCTAATTGTTCCTTGGTAGGATTGCATGAACGTAGGAGTTTCGTCGTTGACGTCAACAACTTCCACCGATACTTCACTCACGCTCTGAAAAAAAGAAAGATGGCATTAGATATCATATATACAAATATCATTTATAAGAAAAAGGCCTACGATGAAGAACCTCACACCAGATCCTTGTACATGATGATGTGCAAGAGATTCAGCTTATACTCACCACTTTGGTGGTGGGGCGTTTTTCTTCCAACATCACGGTAAACGTATATCGGCTTCGTTTTTCTCTGTCGAGCCCAACTTTAGTGAAGATCTCTCCGTCCTAGAAAGAAACGAGCCTTGGAGTTAGCTCGAGACGTCCACATTGATAAATTGCCGCTCCGATTAGAGAGAACTAAACTCGCCTTGGTGATGTTAAAGTATGGACGAACGTCCGTATTTATGATGCTGTAACGCATCTGACTGTTGACACGGAGTGTTCGCGATTGCAGCTCCACCTGACCCACAACAGCACCGGGAACATTCTCCAACACCTTGAACTTGTAGTGCAACTGGTCAAACCGCGGATCCCGTTCCTCCGCTTCACTCACGTAAATCTTCATCGCCGTCTGCAAATGAACGAGTCATTCAAGTGTGAGTCTTTGACTGTCTGTAAGAGGAGCTCTAAGTTGGACACTCAGCGAGAAACTCGGCAAGATCGCCGACCGCCACGATTAGGTAGTGTCTTGTTGCGATTGGCCAGTGCCAAGGTCAAGCTTACTGCTGACCAATCACGACGGTCGGCTCTCGGCGAGTTTCTTGTTGAGTGTGCAAATTATAGCCCCAGTATGATTAGCCTATTTCTGTAATCCGAATATCTTTTTGCTTACGGTGGTTTTCCAAAGGCCATCGTTTGCTTGAACCTCGAGCGAGTATTCTTGGCTTTCCGAAATATCCAAAGCTCTTGTGATGTTCACAGTTCCCAAAATAGGGTCGATCATGAACGGAACTATAAAAGATTAACACAATTACAATCATTTTAGAGAGCGTAAACCAAAATGTCGCAAAGAAGAAATATCAACTCAAGAGTTCATCCCCAATAGGATGTGCCCCAGACACCAGCGATTTAAAAAAAAATGTAAAAACTCTGAATATATTGCAGCACATACGTGAAGAGTTTATCGAGCCCGTTGCTATAAATATTCATAAGGTAGTGCGAATATTCAAATAGCAGTTTCGAATAACACGCAATTCAATAGTCGCTCCGAGATTAACTGTGATATTCGTACTTCCGAAGTGTTTTATCGCAGCGGGTTAGCTCCGTTGAATGCGCTTCTCATCGCGAACCTTGTAACTGCCGGGAAGCAACACCCTGCAGAGCTCGCGGGCTCCGCGGGTATTGCTTCCTCGCAGTTCACAGGTGTTTCGCGAAAAGCACACTCAACGGAGCTAACCGGCCATGATTATGCTAGAGTTACGCAGCGATATCCTGACAACCCGTGTTCGTCATTCGTGCTTGTTTTATTAGGTTTTTTTGTTTTTTTTTTTCGAGTTTTGTTACTTTTGAAATTGGAGGAAGGATATTTGCATATAGCAAGCATATTTAGAAATTACCTAGATTAGAATAGCTGCGACAAATTTGCCATTTAAATACCACAATATATCAATATAGTTATATTAAAATTAACTGAGCTTAGTAGTGAACAAGAAAGCTCCGGAGCAATTTTCACGAGTTCAGCTCGGTTTTCGTTTAAAGGGCCCATGAAACGATTTTTGGGTTGGGATAAATCATTTTAGATTGGAATTTTACTAATAGCACATCGTTCAGTGGACCAAAAGAAAAAAAGTAGAAAGTCTAAAGCCCGACCTTCAGTACGAAAATTTGAAAACAGAGCGGACTATTTCGTACCTCCTCCCCTTCGCAACCTCTCTGCCTTTTCACTGTGATACATCCGCGGTCCCAAAAGCGCGTCATCGACTCATCGGGTCCAAACTGACGTCACACGCAACCGGACCTCATTTATTCCCTTCACCCCTAAGCTGGCATTGTACTGGAAGCTACGCGCTTGCCGGACCAATCAGCCGCCTCCCTTTCATCACCTGACTTTATTCTCTGCAGCCCCATTTGCCACGCTCACGTGGCAAGTGTGGCTGGCCCAACGAGCACGTAGCTTCAACAGTACTGTCAGCTTCGGGATGAACGGGGTGGGGAAAGCAACTTTTGTCTGAATTTTTAACGACGGGCTAATCTTCTAGGGGGACAATGGCTCTGTCCGGCTACACAAACCAGATTCCGAGCGAGACGGGCCTCCCTTCTTTTCGTCTTCTTGAACTGTTTGGTGGAATGGCCGATTTGTGAGTTGAGGAGGAAAGCTAAACAGGAAAAAGTTGGAAAAGCGTTTCATGACCCCTTTAAGGATGGTGTAGCAGTCAAAGGATTGGAGAACCTGTTCAATATTCTATTTCAAAATATTGGACCAAAACCACTATTGCCTTCGAATTTGCTTCGAATTTAAAAGCCACTATTAGAACATAACTAGCTATTCACGACACAAAAGCTATTTATTAAAAAAAAAAACTTCCATGCCTTGCTGATTTTTTTTTTTTAATCTGCCCATATACACACATTAGGCAGGAAGTAAATAGTGCTTATTGTATGTAATTCAGCAATCGAGAGGACTTGAGGGTACTATTAGAGAATGCACAAGCTTCAAATACCTCTTCTGGACAAGCGAGCGAAGGAGTAAGTCATGTTCGTATTTTGAGGGGAGTCCGGGTCCGTTGCCTTTACAGTGTCCACGATAGTACCAACAGGCGCGTTCTCGGAGACGAACTCGTAGTACGCCTCTTTCTCGAACTGAGGCGGGCTGTCGTTCACATCTTGTATAACAATGGCAACCTGGGAAGAAACACTTTTGATCAGATTGTGAACTGCGCGTGCCAAGAACTTTGTCGCTTTACCGTTGTAGAGCCCGTTCTTGAAGGTGTACCCATGTCCCTCGCAGCCACCACGACCAAGTGAAGCGCAGCGTCGGGGACCTTGTACTTGTCCCGATCCAGCTCTGATACTACCTTGAGGACCGCCTAAAAAATAAATAAAATTATTTATTAAATAACCGGCTCCTTAGCTTAACACGCTGTCAACTATTTTGTGCTATGTTGTTAAGGCTAGCATAGCTTACTCAGTGCTGCGGAACTGCACTGCTGCGAGAGCATGTGGCTTTATCTTGGGCCTTATTTGCATGTGCTCTCATGCGAATCAGGCACCAAACAACGTGGCGTGCTCGCGCAAGTACCATTGACAGCGATGGAGCACTGTGGAAGTTGTGCACAAGACAGCTTATTCCAATTATAGGTTATTTTGAACCCTGGGGCTTTCCGTAGTAATACAAGGGTATTCCCAAAGAACCCACGTTTTCCCTTTTGACCTACCCATGAGTGAAGTGTGTATCCCATAAAACCACAAAAGCTAAATATAATAGCGGTTTGGAAAGATTTCATTAAGATGCAGCTTTTCCATAAACATCAAGCCTCGTTAGCAATGAAAAAAAGGTTAAAATGAACTGATGCTACTCCCTGAGAAGAATAAATCCTAAGATAATCTTATCTGTCGAAGCAACTTTGTTGCGGGATGTGGCCTTGTTGATCCTGACCCCTCAATTTAAGTAAAATGAGCTATGTCTTGGCGCATAACCTTCATCAAATGCACTCATGTTTTTTCCAATGCTCATATTCTTCCTAAAGGAAAAATGAGGCGGTTCTGCATTTAACAAACGCACCTAAATCGTCCTCATTTGGCCTCCAGGAGACGAATATCGCGATTATTTTTTGAACTTGGTGCACGGAGGCTGCAGAAATTAACTTTTAGAGTACTTCTGAAGCCCTCTCCTTCCCGGGGCTTGACGTCATATTAGGACTTTTCGGAATCTCCGCTCTCCCGCATCTTCAGAGCCTGTTAAATCTATGCACGTGCACTCTTTCTGTTTTAAAGAGGAAAAAAAAAGACGTCACGACTGGTGTCTGTCCGGGGAAATATACCTGGCAAGCTTGCAATTGCACGCGCTGCCCACACAAGCGACACGCGCTTGGCAGCCCACAGATTCTAGTATGACGTCACGACTGGTCGGAGGTTTTTCGTGTTTTTTTCTGCGTTTAGTTACATCGTCGGGCAAGCGAATCCGATATTCGGATTCACGGGATAAAAATACTTCAGATATCACCTCCAACTCGTTTTTTTTTTTTCAAGAGGTGTTTGAGCTTCCCTTTAATAAAGGGCAAGAACGGGTTCCTAAGCAGCAATTCAAAGTATTTCTTAAGATAGGAAAGATAATTAACCATGGCGTTCAATCATTCAATCAGGCTTGCGTAACGGTTTTTCGTCGCGCTACTACTTGTTCGCAACCCACATTAAATAACGGAAGACATATACTATAGTTCGAATAAAAGCGCATACCCCATTCTCGTTGACACCCAGCCTGAACTGGTTTTCATTGTTTCCGTCAACGATGTACAGCTCCACCTGTCTGTTAATTCCGTCATCGTAATCTGCGACTGGAAGCTGAACAAAAGCACCAATACTTGGAGGACCTGCAATCAAAGAGTTCCCAGTGTTACAAACACACTTATAAAGAATATTTAATCTTGATCCCTTTCAGTAAATGTAGATAAGTGGAAGATAGTAGTTAAAACAAAGTTAGTACTTTTCACTACAATTATCAAAAAGAAAACCAACCTTCAGTGACATTCAAGAAGAAGGTGTCATTGAGGAATGTCGGTGTCCAGTCATTCGTGTCTTTAATAATAATGTGCACACTGGCCCTCCCCTAAAATAAACAAGAAAACGGTCAAATGTTTAAAAATTACAGGCCAAAAACGAGTCGAAACTGAGCTCAACAGCTACAGCGGACAGCTTACCGTATTGTTAGCAGAATCAACAGCAAGAACCTTCAGCATAAATGCGGGCGTCTTCTCACGATCAGGAATAAGCCTGACAGAGATGATGCCACTTGTCTCGTCCATACTGAACTCTTCTCCGCTATTTCCTAAAGAGCCAAGTCCAAGAATATAATCGTTAACACCTTGCAAAATTCAAGAGCGATAAAAGACTAACCATCGATGATGTAGTAACGAATCTTTCCAAGGTCAAGACCATCTCGATCGGCAGCCACCAGGTGAGTAACAGTCTGACCCGGTGGAGTGTTCTGTGTTTACGAAAATTAATATAAATTAGCATCAGCTCCTTTTAATCACTTTCAATTCAAGTGCTCAAATAGCGTGAGCAGAAGATTCTTACCTCTTCCAGCTCAACAACATAGTCGTTCTTTTCAAATACAGGACTGTTGTCATTTACGTCTTCCACATAAACCTTGATGCGACTGCTACCAGAGCACTTGTAGTTGCTTGCCGTTACCTGTGACAAAAAAATCATGTTGTTAGAGTGCCGGACAAAATGATAATAAGATCTAATTAAGACAAGTAGGATTCAGGAACATTGTATATGGGATTACATCATTCTTTTGTAAATGTTGAAAGAGTGAAGGTACAAATGTAATGAAGTAGAGCTGAAGTATGCTGGTAATGCTGTTACAGGTACCAAAATTATTAATATAGGTAAGATACTGATTCAACAGGCAACCTTTTGTTATGCTGAATATACTAGGTTTTACTGTAGCATATAACATCTAATTGATTATTTCGGGATATCAGTTAATTTTCTTTTACAAAAGCTATGTATTCAATACATACTGGTGAGTAACTTGCACGGTTATGCAGCTTTACACACTACAAACTAGTTTGACTTTCCGTATCTTAATAGTCTAACTAAGGCTCTACTTATGGCAATACACCTAAGGAGAGTAACATGAGAAACCGAAATCAAATGTAATGTAAAAGTTAAATAAGAGTTTAATATCACAAGCACTGATGTTACAATTTACAAATTCCAGTAGAAAACACATATGTAATTTCTTACAAGGAAATCAGGCATATACCCTTCAAACAAATGCAAGAAAACCATACTATTGATTCTAGCTTCAGACATGCTTACAGAAATACCGAATCCCGAAGCACAGTAACCAAGAAACTTACCGTCAAGGTGTAGACACCCTGAAGAATAGCTGGCATGTTGTCTCGATCAAGTGGCTTTTTTACCCTCAGCGATATGACGTTCTGCTTTGTATCCAGTACGAAGTTGTCATCGGAATTGTCCTCCGTGATCTGGTATGATATCTGCACAAAAAGATTAACCCGGTCGTAGAGGCTTCTCAGCCTGCAACAAGGCATAAAATGCATATAGGATAATAAAAACCCCACCTTTTCAAACTTCTCAACATCTTCAGCAATCAGATTAGGGAGCACTACGGTGTCAGGTGGCGAGTTCTCTTGAATTGAAGCGAAATACTCTGTGAATGGGAACTTCGGGCATCGGACATTCTTGTCTGTCAGACGTATGACAACCTGCATGTAAGTCAGACAAGTTAGACAGGACCGCGAAATCAGAACGAAAACAAAGATATTTGCGAAGATCACATACCCCAGCTTCAGCCTGGTGTTGGGGATCCCTCTTGTTAACGGCAACAACCATGAAATGATAGACAGACTGTTTCTCAGCATCCAGGCGGGTAGTGGTCACTATTCTTCCCTGTTGAGTAAAAAAGAAAATGTTAGTTACAAGTGAAGTATCAATGTCTGCAGACTTGTTCACTAGAAGAGTGATGAACGATGATTCCTACACGAATATTTATGTGTAGCTGACAGGGTACATACCGAGTCATGATTGATGGAAAAACGACGGACATGACTGCCGTCGTCACCGGTGATGTTGTACCAGATGGGGCTTCCATTGGGAACAGTGGCTCTTGCTTCGAGGACAGTGGCGCCAGCCTCGATGACGGAAGCGGAATCCACCGTGTATTGAACCGATGAGAAGGCGGGACTGGGCTCATCCACTGAGTCCTTGTAGACTTCAATGCGCATCTCGACAGCACTACAAAGAAAAAATTACGTTAAAAGAGGTACAGTTTCTCTATCGCATCAGTCATTCGAATGACAAGACAAAATTTCCGGGAGACGTTAAACTCGTCATGATTGACTGCTGTCCAGATCTCATCAGATCCCGAAAATGCGGGGCTCTTTAACTCACCTACATCTACAATATATAGAGAAACACAAGGACGTCGAGAGTAGCAGTAAAAAATAAAAGAGCAGCAGATATACGCAACCTAAAATTTGAGAGAAGGAGGGAAATTCATAAAAACATTTAGATCACAGATAATGTTCCCAGAAGCATAATAAAATGTTCCCCTTATTTTGCATTGCAGGTCTTCCCGTATTAGGTTTCTGGAAAAGTTCCCTGAAACAATTAAAATATTGACTATTAGCGATGGCTTCAAATACAACATCGTTTGTTATGTCTGAACGTCGTGTTCTGTACTTGTACATCGTTAATATAGTTTATAGTGGTAACTAAACTTTGTCAAAGCTACGTTAGCTTCCACAGTACAGCGCTTTAACACGTTTCTTTCGTTCGAAAGCGAGTACGAATGAGACACGAGACGAAGCCTCGGGATCTCAAAGAGGAGGCTGCAGCATTTCGGAAGCTGCGCCAGCCTTGACGACGTAGTACACCTGTCACGATCACTCAGACGCTTACATAGAAGTGTCGATATATGAAATATGCGCTTTGTTCATAAATCATCACACATATTGTGTGTTTCATTGAGAATTTCCCCGCTTAGTCCTTACTTCGCAAAAATTCGCGTCGCGAGAAGTAGTTTTCTCAAGAATCGAGTTTTGTGCCAGATTTTCACAAACACAAACCTTTCCGCGTTACGAAGCGCTTTAATTTACGCAAAAATTGTAATATTCGAAGAGTCGCAATGAACTTCGCCCTCGCAGCACAGAACGTTTGAAAGTTGGGTGCGACTGATCTACGACGCGACCGATTGAAAGCGCTCGCACAATTCAGTGGTCTTAGCCGCTTCGATGAACCTCACCAATCATGACAAATCAGCGGAACTACGCTGTTGTACGTGCTGGAGTCATGAGGTCATCAGAGGTGAAGCTAGGGGAAACTTACGGTTTAAAGGTGCACGCCTTAACGATGACCGAAAACGAGGAAAGACGCTAATGGACGGAACGGACACCTTTGGGCACACTTGGGGGCCGTTGCCACCGACCGCGACTTCTACTACTGTCTTCACATTGGACTTTCTCATTTGGCAGGCTTCAGCCTGCATGTCTCTTCTTCTTTTTTGTACCTCCATGCAGTTTTACCATACGAAAGCGAAAAGCAGAAATTATGCGTTGATCGTTAAAAACAAAACAAAACAATAGAGCGCACGTTGCCAGACTCAAGTTTTGGTTTTCGTCAGATTTACAATAAACGCAAAACAAGTGAGTTCCCTTCTCTATCGCTAAGATCAATATGCCACTCCTTTTAATATTATGTATTATGTTTGAGTTTCACTTAATCCAAAACACATACCTGGTGAGCGGGTAAATAGATCCATCTGTTGCCACAATACGAAGAGACTCTGTTCCAAGCTGCAACGGCTGCGTGGCAAACACTTGGCCAGTTTTTGGGTGGATTGAGAACCTCGTGCTCGGAGGGTTCAGTTCGAACTTGATGTCGTTGTTTCCACCAGCGGGTGAGTCCAGATCTATCGCTTGCACTCGGTAAACCAGTTCATTTTGAGACGTTGATTCTGGTATCCGTAGTAACCGTGGCATAGACAAGAACTCGGGTGCATTATCGTTAACGTCGTTGACAGTTACCTGAAATGTTAAAGAAGTGAACATTTTAGGAAAGCAAAACTCCGCCGCAGAAACTAGGGTTTTGTTGAACTTATTTTCGTTTTCTTCGCATATAGGAAGCCTAGTTCAATAATTTTCTGTTGACAAGCCAGATAATGTAACGAGCCGCAACGGCCTTTCACTGCGTTTTACAAACCGTTACGAGTATATGTTATCTTTGTCAGATTAATACATTTATAATACTGGTTTCATACATAGTCTGCTTCAGAATACACAAAAACGCAGTTTCTGTTTTTTGTTTTTGCAAAGCAGAAGCAAAATGTGGAATGGCTTTTTACCAGGTACTTCTACACATAACGAATGATTCATCTAAATAGCTTGACTCATATCAAACACTTGAATAGAGCAGACGCTGGTTTCATTTCCCAGTTTTATCGAAATCTATGCGCCACAAAAAGAAGTGCGATAGTTGTTTACGTTATTTATAATCTCGTTTTGTTATAGTGTGAGATGGGGTCTATACGTGGATAGGGAGATAACCAGTTATGTTTTCTTACCTGAACAATCGTCGTCGCGAACTGCGGCTCGTTGGCGTCATCTCTCGCTTCGACGAATACTTCTAAGTGCTTAATTTGCTCGTAATCTAATGGCGACACTAATGTAATTTTTCCCGTCTGAGAGTCTATTCGGAATGTTTCTCTCTTTGTCGCTCTAGCGATCCTGTACACCACTTTGCCCGCACTTCCTTCGTCAGGATCAGAAGCGTGCACTTGAACCAGGGGCACGTTGGCCGCGTTCTCATCGACGTACACGCTGTACGCGAACCGATCGAAGACCGGAGGGTTGTTGTGCGTACTGGACACCTTGACGACAAGCGAGGTCTTGCCGATGTTAGACGCGGCACCGTGGTCCTGGGCAAATACCTCCATCTCGTAAGTGAGGTTCTTCATCGAGTTGAGAGGAAGACCCGCGGCCATCCGGACCAGTCCCGTCTTGGCGTCGATCTCGAAGATTCCGTGCGTGTTCTTGATCCAGTAGGTAATTTCCCCGTTGTTGGCAACGTCCAGATCGATGGCGTGAAGTTGAATAACAGAGCGCCCCGCTTGCGAGTCGTGCGGTATGCTCACGGAATAGCGCTCCTTCTCGAATCTAGGAGGGTTGTCGTTCTCGTCGACGACTTCGATGCTGACGGGGGCCTTCATGTCGAACTTGCCATCAGACGCGGCCACTGCGAATTCGTAGCTGTCGCGACGTTCACGGTCCAGCACTTGGGATGTGCAGACGTCCCCTGTCCTGCCGTTGACGGTAAACGGGATGTCCTTGTTGAGGATCTCGTACGTAACTTGGTCGACTGAGTCGCCGCTGCTGGCTTGAATCTATAAACAAGGAAGAATGTGCGGTTAGATCTAAATTTTTAAATCGGTCCTTATTTTTCTTTTTGTCAAAATGATTTGTCGATCCCACTCACACTTAGGAAGCAGTGTCCCGATGGGAGGTTTTCAGGAAGCGACGCCGAATAAGCTGTCTTTGAAAACGTTGGTGCATGGTCGTTGGAATCCAAGACATCAATGGTAACCATAGACAGTCCGAACAGCGGCGTGTTGTGGGCTGTGTAAGAATTGAAGATAAATTACCACGCACGTTGCCATAAAAGAGAAAAGGAGATAGAGTAAAGAAACGAGGATTTTTCTCGTTAGGTAAAAAAAAGAAGATCGAGAATAAAATGCTTACAGTCTTTTGCTTGAACCAACATGACGAACTGCTTCTTGCGATCGTAGTCGAGAAGATTGATGGTTTCGGGATTCACCCGGATATCTCCGGTTTCGTGGTCGATCACAAAGATCCCCTCATCATTCCCGCTCGTGATATTGTAAGTGATGGTGTTGTTCTGTAGATCTTTGTCGGTAGCGAAAAGCTGAAGACGAAAAAAAACAACATGAGTAATCGAGCAAAACTAGAAGCTCATAACCCACGTGCATTTACGACTGGCGCTTCGCATTCAAATTAAGCAGAAACAAATGTCTCTGCTCCGTTTCACAATAACTTGGCGTACTGTAGAGGCTGCAACCCCCGCGAGCCAAAAAGGGCACTAGAGCAAGGCACATGATAACACTTCATGGTCGAGGCCACGGGAGTCTCGTTACCACCACAGCAACAGCACCGTCCGCGACAAAAAGTAGTTCCAGGCTTCTTTTTCTTTTAACGGAAATTGAACTCGCGCGCTTCAATATCCAGCAAGAAGGTACGAAGTGTAAAAAAATAAATAATCACAAATTTATGAGTTTCAGTTATATTTAAACCAAAAACATTACACCACATCCGTATCAGCTCGATTTTTTTCACCTCGTAGCGCCGTCGCCGTTGTCGATCACCGGCTGTCGCAGCTGTGTAATCGGCCTTTTCCGCTCAAAACATCGCACTGTGCCCCGGCATTAGCACCAGTCACAGATTCGCGGCTACATTAAACCTATGGTTGTCTCATGAACTGTTCCCGAAGTGTCTCACTATTCTAGCGGACGGAAACGTTGCTACGGTAGACGTTCATCCGAAGTTGGTTGGTTTCGGAGCCAATGACTATTGGCTAGCAGACGACAGCCGTTTCCTCCGGGCCTCGCGCCTCGCATGTGGCGTGGTAACAGAAATGCTCCCGTGACATCGGGTTACGTGCCTCGCTCCGACACTCTTATTTGGTCGCGGGGCGCTAGCCTCCACAGTTCGTAGAAGTTATAGTGAGGTGGAGCATAGGAGATTTTCTTGCACTACACGGCCGCCAAATTTCTGTTCTTGTTGCTTTTCTGGCGTTAAAAAATAATAGAAAGGTAAGACCAATAAAACCAATAGACCCCCAAAGCAACAATTATGGTAATTTCGCAAAGAGTGAGATATCACTTCCATATTTCAAGCTTATCATATAGCATATGTATCCAACGAATCCCAGCTATTTACCACAAATGACCGTGGTCTTGAGTATACTTCTGTGATGGACCGCAGAGGGGTCTACAAGCCATCTAAGCCAATTCAACGCCGAGTAACGTTAGATTGGCTTATGACCTTCGAAAGGAGCGCACCGACAGACAGAAAGCATAGTCACGTGAAGTCTGTACAACACTGGATTGGCTGGGGATGAATTGCAGCCTCCGATGGGATTCATTATAAGGTGTAACGGAGCATACCATGCGGTCATTAATGGGTTGCCCGGGAAAGATTTTAGATTTCCTGATTCAATCATTAAGTTTATTGAGTAATGCGAGTCGGCGGATGTAGTTGAGAGCGACTATGAAAATAATCATTAATTGGGTATTCTAATTTCGTGCGTGTGGAACTTTTCAGGACTGCAATATAGTTTTATCTAGCACTTTTAATAGCCCGTGCAGAGCGCTCACCTTGATGATGACCCGGTCCGTGGCATACTTCTCGAGGACCGTTCCCTTGTAGCTCGAGTGCGAGAAGACCGGAGGGTAGTTGTTCACCTCCTTCACGAACACGGTGACCTGGACGCCGAGGGTGCGGTTCTCGGGCACGCCGTTGTCGGTGGCCGTCACCACGATCGTGTACGACGTACGGGACTCGAGATTCTTCTTCACGTACAGCTTGCCGGTGTCACTCTCGATGCCGAAGTACTCTAGATGGGTAGAACACAACCATTGTACAAAAAATTGGCATATAGCAGAGCTGTAAAATAACTAATAACAGGATAAAGTATTTTTTTTTCTAACTAAGTTAGTCGCTTTACAAAATTCCCGACGTCCTCAATGCGTGGAGGTGCTGTTGTTCACATAAATGTTAAATCGTGAGGTCTACACCACTGCCTTGAAACCTGCTCTGAGTAGTGACTCAAATACTACGGGTCTGGACATAGACACTTTAGGGGAATGAACGGTGCGTCGGAAATCGCAGCACCTAGCGCCATTCTTCACGCAAAACCGTTTATGACAAGTAACTGCAATGTAAATTAGTTATATTTGTTTAGTAACTCTAACTTTTAAAAAAGTTATAAATATGCGCATTGGACTGTAGCTCAATGGCATTTCAACTCGTGTAACTAGCTGTAACTTAACTACCATCTCAACTCATCAAACTAAAACTGTAACTTCATCAGTTTCCATTGGTAAGTTCTATAGCTCTGGTCTACAAATATTTGTTTTGCTATTTTGCCGCGTAATTTAGGAATAAGATTTTTTACTGTGCGTGACATTGCACCATGATGGAATTTACCCGAGACTGGAGCACAGAAAGATAAAAGAAATCTAATATGGTAGAAAAATAAAAAGGGACACACAACACCTTAAACTCAACCACATGCTTTCCTTCGGCCAGCCAGATCCCTTAGAGTATGTACTTAGCAACGCATAGCCACTAGACCGCAGAGCGTCCTGGTTTCCGAGTTCTAGTAGAACAAGAAAAGGCAGTGAAGTGACTCAAATGAAAATGCACTAAGTCCCGAACTGAAGCGACTTGGCCCTGGTGGGCTACTGAGGGGAAATAAGACGCAACGTTAGTTGGTTTCTTATATAAATTCTCCGGGGATTGCTCTTCTCATGAATAATCTACGCGTTAATGCATTTCGCCTTGTGCGTGAACCAATATAAAAGACGGTACTTTTGAAGACTGCTCAAATGCCCCAAAACTTCATTTTGTCTTGTCCGCTGGCCAAAATTGCCGAGTGTTTCGGTGTAGGCCACGTAAGTTATAAGTACGGTTTCGTGGTTTCGGATAAATTTGATAAACTCCGAAAACACTCGGGGGTAAAGTTTTGGACAAATCCAATTTATCCGAAAAAATCCGAATTTCAAGGTAAAGGTGTCAACTAAAAGCAAAACAATGCGGTATTTTACGAATAAGGATTGTCAGAGCGCAGTGCTATTGGTTCTGTAAAAAAAAAAAACAATAAAGTTTTTTTTTTTTTTTTTAATTTTCGAATATTGACAAAAGGGAGTTTCCTGTTTATCCCTTCAAGGTTCGTTTAGCACAATGTGCCAATGTACTTCTGGACCAGAAGAAAAGCCCTGTTACGGTTTCTCGTTTGAACCATACTATTTTTTCTTTATTTTTAGAGGGAGGAGGGGCTGGGCTTTTATAACAGTAAAAGCAGTAAAAGCTATGAACCCTTAGATTTCATGGAAGTGGGGGGAAGGGGAGCTCAAATTACTATATTCCTCGCTTAGCCGCATTTGTGAAACCGTGGGGGGGGGGGGGGGGGGGGGGAAGTGGTGGAATGGTATGAAAAGTAAACGAGTTTCCCGGCGACTACATGCGCGACAGCCTAGATTTCAAAGTATCAACCTTCATTGAAGCCCCAGTTTTGCCGTGGGTCAGTGTTCTATTACCAATGTTAAGGGCGCTAATGCCAAATTCAGTTGAAGAAATATCTTTCGATACTCGAGTGTTCTTACGAATTTAGAACGGAACTTTGAAAAATATAGAGCAGAGCGAAATTAAGATTCACATTCCGGAAAATTGAGGATCTAGGAAAAATATTAACCCATAAACTTCGAATATTGGGAGAAAAAATAAACTTCGCAAGTAGGTCTTGCCACTTGATCGATTAACCTACCGATTCATCGATTAATGCTTTAATTGCGATTATGTTTAACCGGTTAATCGAATAAATATTGTCCGACAAAAAAGTTAGAAAAAAACAAAAAAAAAACATTAACGTTTTCCTTACGCAGACGAGGACGAGTACACCTGTATGAAGGGCAAACTTTAGGTAAAATATTAGCCAAGATTAATCTGTGAAAGCGGGATTCAAAACTCCAAACAAGTGAAAAATAATAAACTTGTCTCAGCCACTTTAACAGCGTGCGAGTGTCCGTTTAGCGCTGCGGAGACTGTTGTGAACAATCAAGCGAGGTCGCTATTGCCGGAGAATATCAACGAATCTCTTTGCCTCGGTAGCTGAAGAATAATATGCGCGTGTTGATGTCTTTGACTTTTCTCAGCTACACTTCAAGGTTGACTTGAAATTAAAAATTGTACACTGCGCCGTTCATTGCATATTTAGCAGAGCAAACGAAAATATTTCGTTTTCTTTTTAACTTAATGCGTGGCAATGAACTAAACCAATTAATCGGTTAATTAATCGATGAAAGGGTGGTGATTAATCGGGTTAAACATTTTAATCAACGCTCAGCCCTAGAACACTCTCTTCGAATTTCCCGAAAAATAAGCTCCGAACACACCTAGTTATAGGTATGCGAAAGGCACCTTGTGTCCACAATAATATGTTAACGTATTTCCAGTGAGATGCATCCTGGATCCTTATCAGTCATGCGGAGCATACTACATAGAAATTTTTCTGTATTTCGACGTTTTGAATATAAACAATAAATGAGCACGAAGACGAATATGGTAAAATCGTGGGAAAAGAACAGCCTTTTTTTTAATCGCTCCAGCCACATATTTATTTTAAGTTTCGGGCATTTTTTTTTTTTTTAATCCGTCGGGATTTTCTTGTGTTGTGTGCTCTTTAAATGCTAAGCGTGCCTTACGAGCGGTGGAACACAGCGCATAGCTTAGCGTGGCAAGCTTCATATAAAGTAATACATACAAAAAATAAGCTGCCGATATGAAACAAAGCCTTCTTACAAAATGAAACACATAAAAACGCAGTGCAGGAGAAAAAAAAAAAAAGAAAACTGCTCGTATTGTCGAACCCTCCAGCATCCAAGAGAACCTCGCGATCAGCTGGAACGCTCGCTCCAAAGACGCCATTCATTCTCCTAACAAAACAAGGCGCACCGCGGCCACTCGCCATTTTTCACAACGAAGCCAACACAACGAGGGAACTATCCCAAACAGCGCACGGCCCGCCGCGGTGGCCCTTGTTGTTGTTATTGTAACCCGGCTCATGCGGAAAGCCGAAGAGGACGGAGGAGCGCTCCCGCGCTCGCCGGGGGCGTTAAGGCCTCGCCCATTAATTCCGACGCCAGTCCTCGTAAAGGGGAAATAAGTCATCGCCCCCTTCTCTAATAACCCAGCCGATCCAAGATGTGCCCGTCGCCGGAAAAAAGCGCAAGCGACGATATAATCACGTGAAGACATGGCGAACCATCAAATAACCGAAAGGAGGATAGCGCGAGGGGGAAGAGAAACATCCAACTGATGGATATATATCGGCAAGCGGGCCACGTACCACTAGTTGGGTCAATAAAACATCTCAATCGTTCGGTTGTGCGAACGTCCGGGGCATTCGGCGTTTCCGACACGATCGTTACTTCATTCCAGGAGGGCGCAAAACAACACGGTACAGGAAAAAGAACGCCAGATTCCTGCCGCAGCAGAGAGGAAGGGCCTTTGCCTCCTCCTTATGAGGCGTGCACTTCCGCACAACCAGTAACCCCGTCACGTTTGGCTCAGCAGAACCAGCGATCGTAAAGGAAACGAGGAAGAAAATAGATATCTCGACTTTGCCCAGCATGGTTTCCCCGCGTGACATGGTTGGGTGGGGGGGAGGGAGGGGGGGGTAGATTATACTATATTTGATGCACTTCAGAGGCAGGCCTCACTCTTGCTTGTAGTACATCCGTGTTCCACAACCGCTAATGCTTTCATGTTTACAGCTCCAAGAAGCCTGGAACAGCAAGTGTCTTGAGATCGCTATAGGAACGACAATAGTTAAAATATCCCCACTTATGGTTGCGTGACAAGTCCATATGCCTGCGACTCCCCTAGACCTGGGCTCCAATTGCGATGTAGCGGGTGTTTGGGGAGACAATGAAACCAAGCTTTAAACCGTCAGGACTGTAACCTACCCATCGTCGAACGCCCAGCCCTTTCCTCAAATGTAGCGCTCTACTTCATTTCACCTTAGGTCTAGGCGCCGCCGACGCTACGAGATGAGGGGACCAATCAGACAGCGTCAAAAGCCCACCATCATGATGTTCGTAATGTTTCTGTACGTGGTCTGTCATTGCTGAACAAATCGTGAACAGAAAAGACAGTAGCGCTTTTGATGCTTCTTTATTAGTCCTATTACCTCGTAGCGTCGCCTGCGTCTGCAATTAAGCTGAAACGAAGTATAGCGGTTTAAACCAGATGCCAAAGTATAAGAAATTACCGCAAGCTGATTCAAACGTTATAAGCAATTTTCCGAAACGTTCAACGAGAAAACGGGACCCATTTTCGGCAGCAGACGCTATCCGTCTCCGTGAATTCGTGCTTCTCCTAATCCGTTAGTTTGTCTTCGAAACGTTCCGAAGGTTGCCCAGAGTTGGTGAATCAGACTCTTGTAGATTCGTGAACTTTGGCGTCTGTTCTCAACCAGCGCTCCATCTGGGCAAAAACGTACGACGATGAGAATTTTATCTTTGAGTTGGAAAAAATGCGGTTCTCTTCCTTCCGAAACAGTCGATATATTATTATGCCGCACATGAGGACAGTAGGCATACGTCGCATTTTCACGAACCACAGATTCGGGAAGAGGTTGGAAAGGAAGAACGTTTCGAGCGTATACGCGCACGGGAAGACGACATGTCTCTCGTTTAAATCGCTAAAGGTCATGATATCTGCCCGAGGCAAAACCCTTCGTTAATTCTGGGGTTATTAAGGCACTACGTATATCTGGAGTTTCCGCGTACGAAGTTTTTCTCTATATTTTGCTTCGCTTACAGGGCACGCTAATACCATTCGCTAAACCTACGCATTGCAGAGGTATCCGCTGGATACTGTAGCGGGCATCAGTTATGAGCGCATTGGCTCGTTCTTGATATATGAAAAGCAAGCTACCAGCGTGATTCCTGCGTGCCACGTTGCAAGTACCGACGCTGAATGTTGCAGCCAACACGTTCAAAAGGTGCGAACTATGCTGCACAGCATGCACTCCGCTTCGCCTTCGCTGAAGTGTTCATGTTTTGATCCGTTCGACTACGTATAGAAAATAGACCTTTCACTAAATCGAAGCTATCCTAGCACTTTGTGCCGTGCAAAGCATCTTGGGAGCTGCTTGGTTCAAGTTTAGGTTTCAATTTACCAACCTGACCTCACCATATCCCGTCACGACCAAACACAGTGGCTGCGTTTTGGAATATGTAACTTTGCTTAAATTTTTAATGGTTTAGGTGTTGCCTACCAATGTGAATATAATGCTGGTGCACGTTTTTGGTGGGGGCTCCCGACCTGGCAGGGTTTGTGCGCAGGTAAACAGGACTACGGTTGGCTTACGGAAGAACTATACCGTCCCGGTCATCCTGTTCCATCGTCGCCTGAATGTACTGGCCTTCTTTAATTCTCCGTGAGCCGAGAGCGTCATATGCTGCACTCTGTGTTGGCCGCCGGGCCCCCAGACAAGGCGGTAGGCCGTAGGCCGCACTTCTATCCCTCGCTAAGCCTAGGCAGGTCGCAACGGCCGCTGGAGGTACGTGTTTCAAAGGGGGCTCTCACTAAGGTGAATAGGGTGTAATGCGAGCGAGCGCTGATTATTTTCATGCCGTGCTGAGATGTACTACTTCGTCAACGAGGCAATCGATACCGAAACAATGGCACTCCTCTCTATAACCAAAGAGGTCCCATAACGCAAGGCCCGGAATGTTGCGTTCAGGGATTTTTGGAAGTAGTTATTGAGCTTTACCGTTGAACCTGATTTATTCCGTATTTTCTTAACATGAACAAAAGGAACATAGAGGCCGCGCTCTCTGGTAGATGTATCTCCGCTTACTTTTTGGCTATTCGTGTGTCTTCTCGTAAGCATTGCTAGGTTTTTTTTTTTTTTTTTTTTTTAAACTGTTAAAATAGGGGGCCCCAATAATGTGTGTCCCTCAAGCAGCTTGGGGTGTCCCTCTGCTCCGGCGGGTGCGCATGGCAGCGCTCTAAGTAATTCGGGACACCCAAAGCCTTGGGGCTTCCTATTATAAGAACTCCTTGTGTTCTTTTGCGAACCGTTCGTCCGACATGACTAAGCTCGAAGATTAACCACTTTTGGCGCACGTACCAAATGCCGTTTTTATATGCCTTCGCATGGGACGCGAACAGTTGAAGACAACGAATATAGCCACGCTCGAGACCAAAAAAAAAAAAATTACTGGAGGCAAAAACCGTGTTTAAAAGAAAAACGTCGTCCTGTCTATTTTCTGTCCCTTCTACGTTTTGATGTTTCTTCTCTACCCCAATCTCAGGTTAATTCAACATGGTTAATATTCACCAGCTCGCCTGGACCTTTACGATTTTTTTTTATTTTCATTGGCAACATGTCTTTTTTTGTTTGTTTGTTTGTTTTTTTAGGGTTTGGGCGGTTTTTTTTTTTTGCGTAATAGCTGGCACTGTGCACTCCTGCCCTCGTGTTTTTTTGTGTGTTTTTTTGTTTGATTTTACTCGTTAGAGATTAGGAAGGACGTTAACATCATCAATTAAATAGAAAGCCCATTAAAGCGGGACTGACAAACAGACCGCCTTAATGGAACTGACGGAAAAAGCACAACCCGTATACCGTGTAGTGAACTTCAAAAAACCCAAAAACGACGAGAAAAAAGAAATCAACGCCGTATTTAGTTGCTCACTTTATCCCCTCAAACAATTTTTGTTTTTATTTTATCTACTCTTTGGTCGCAAAGACATGGTTCCTAATAACTTTTACTTTTGCCGTCCGAGAGAAAAAAAAAAAAAAACAAGAAAATCAGGCATATAAAGAAACAGGTAAGACGACCCAAATCACTGAAAAAAAGAAGGAATCGGGACTCCAGCGTGAAAAAGAAAAGTAAAGAAAGCTGAAGAAGGATAAAAATATGTCTAAAAAATAATTTACCCTCCTGCATCTTTTTTTTTCTTTTCTTTTTTTTTAAGTTTCGGCGTTTTCTTAACGTTAAAAAGCTTCTCTATTAAGCTGCCGCTTTTTGCAGAGGAAGTTGGTTTCGATTTTGGCAACAACTGTGGTAGCTGTTCGCCCGATTCGGCGCATTTCTTTCGTCTTTTCTTTATTTACTCGTTTGTTTGGTTTTCGGTTTCTTTTTTTTTTTTTTGTGTTTTTTTATTTATTTACCGATCGATCCATTCTCGGGGCTCCTTATTTCTACAGTGGATCGTTCCGTACCGAACTTCGCAACGAGCACCTTGAAATGTATTTATTTCCGCAATCGAGAGCCTGGTGTATAGAATATAGCCTGGCTTTTAGCTTTTATCTCGCTCAGCCGACGGATAGAAATTCGAGCAAGACGAAAGAATAAAGCGGGTAAAAGAAAGAGAGAGCGAGAGGGAAATAACTTTTAGAAGGTGAAAGAGAGGACGATTTTTACCATTGATAAAATGAAATGAGAATCCTGTACCATATGGTTCGTCCGTGATTGCCTTTTTGAGACGTAAAAGGAGCTGAAATAAGGGCAAGAGCGCAGGCTGGCTAGTGAACGGTCACACTTAAAATTCCCCGAGACAAGGAAAAAAAAAAGAAAATTGGATAATACAATGACGTCTAGACGCCGTTCTCCCCCCCCCCCCCCCTTTCCCTTTAAAATAAGGGGGAGGCCCTTGTTTTGGTGGGATCACATTAAAAAACTAACCAAGAACGCACAAAAATAGCTGCTTAAAAGAACATTGTATAGATTCAACTCCCTTTTAAGAATTAACCAGGCGAGGGTGTTTTTGTTAAGGAAATCGCAATCACGCTTCTGATAAGTCCGCGTTTTCAGCTTCCGGGTGCTAAATACGCCCAGTTTTCTAAACAAAATGACGTGAAATAATTTTCGAGTATTTTGATTTTTGATTAATTCTTCGGATGATTTTTTGCGCACTTGCGTTTCAGCCTTAACGCAACGACGTGAAAATTATACTTCGCCAGAAAGTGATAGATAGCTCAGGGCTAGAGCCCTTTCAAAAGTTCAGCAAGCTGCATTGGCGGTCGACATTTCTTGGGCACGAGGCGTGTGATTAGATCCGAGTCATCGCCGAACGCTGACACAGCATTCGTGTCCAATAAGGGCCTAAGCGAGTCCACGCCGAACTCTGCCAAAGCCCTCGTGTCCAATCCTGTTCCGAGTGCTTGCCCGAACGATGGCGGACTCGAATATTTGACGCAGCAGCCACTAGGTGCGGCGCACATTTTTTAAAAAGGGTCTATTACGAACGTTCGTGCGGTTCATTCCACAGCCTTCAGTGGGGAAGTATGAACGGCTGCATGGTTTACACATTTGCGTTTGAGTGTGGCCATGTGCGTTGCGCTCGTTTGTAACCGCTTACGACGAGAGGACGCAGTGACGCGCGCCACCTGTTGGGCAACCCAGGAACACTTTCGATCTGCGTATACGATTTTGCAGTATTTTGGAGATAAAATTTGCGCAGAATCCACTAGAAATGGCCGCTTAAAGCGGTGTCACAACTATTTCAAGCTCACGGCGAAAGGATGCAGCGAAGTAAAGTAAAAATATTTATTTAGGGAAACTGCCGGAATCTTCTTTTTTTTTATGGTATTAAACGTGGTGCTGCACTACTACTGCTCGTCGTGCGCCGTTATAAACGAATAAAATGCACTTAGACTCGAAAGTAAAAGTGTGGATCAGCCGAAAGGGAGACTGACCCCATTTCATCTTTTAATTTTTTGCCAGGCGGTTTAATATGGCGCCAGAAGACTACCCAATCAATATTTTGCTACAGCGCCATGTATATATTTATTATAGAAAAAAAAAACGCAGCTTCTCGAAATTGAAACCGAAACTGAACTGAGGAGGAGGAAGAAGAAATGTGAAGGAGGAGAGGGTTGCCGAAAGTCCCGTGGCTACACCCGATTGTGTTTTCTTTTTGTTTTATCTTTTTCCCCTTCGTTCTTTTTGTTGTGCGACGCAAACAAAAAACGCGCAAACCTCAAGCACTTCGTTTTTGACGTTTGCGCGTTTTTCAAGCTTTTACAAATTCGTATTCGTAAAACGAGCGAGGCCTTCAGCCAGGAGAAGGGGCGACGACTCGGCGACGTCTCCGTGCGTATGAGCTTGGTGGTCGGGCGTGTCTTGCTGAATAAATCCTGATTGTTTTGATCGGCAAAAATTCATCTTTCGAAGCAAGAGAGATTCGCATGTACCGCGAACGACCGTTCTGAAGCAGAGGTCCCACGCCCGTTGTCCGCCGACATCGCTTGTTCCGTTTCGTCCAGCCATCGAGCCCGCGACTCCCGCGGTACGACGCCATGTTGAGAATTACGCGAAGAAGGCACTGAGTGCTTCTGGTTCTCTGTGCAAGCTTTCTTTTCTTCTTTTTTTTCAGTCAATATAATATCAGTTTCTTTTAAAATCCACACAAAAAAAAATAGGTATTCTTGTTTATTTTTTTTTTTTATATTGAGTGTGTGCCTCTGATAACCCAGGACTTTATTATATATGGTGGTTGTGTCTAAACCGCGCGTGAACACAGAGAAGAGAATGAGCGCGACTCAAGAATGAGCGCCAGCGCCCGTTTTTGATCGTCAGATTTCCGACGGAAACAAAAACAACAAAAAAACAAATTTCGAGTCGCAAACTATGTCCTGAGGTCTCGGTAGTCGTACTATCGTATGTCATGAACAAATCAAAACCTTGGCAAGCATGAATATCCTGTTAATGTCCCTTTAAGAGCCCAGCAATCGCCCGACTGGAGAGCGTTCGCAAACAACGAAGAGGGATTCGTAGTTTCTCCACTCACCAGCGTCACCGTCCGATATGGCGTAGACTATCTTGTTTCCGTCTTTGTCCGTCGCCTGAATTTGTCCGACGCTGGTGCCGCGAGCCGCGTTCTCGGCCACGTAGAAGTTGTAAGGATAGCCGACAAACTCTGGACTGAACTCATTGATGTTCTGCACCGAAATGATGATGCTTGCCGATCTGCAAAGCAAGGTCAGAAAAAAAAAAAAAGTAAGGGCTCATGCACATCCGCGAAGCCCTACCTAGAATCACTAAACACACTACGCTTAGGGTGTGGACATCTCGGCGATTTTCTTGTGGGCCTCACCATTTCGGTTATTTTGCGATTCGAAAGCACGGCTCCCTTAGCTTTACATACGGTGTCAAAAAGAAAAGGCAACATTTTTTGTTGTTGTTGTTGTTGTTGTTTTTTTGTCGCGGAAAGTTTCAACATTTCTGATATACGGAAAAGTGTCTCCTGCGATTTCAGCTAAGCCCTCAGTTAAGGGCCAAAGATGAGTTTAGCCAACAGGATGGCTTAAATGTCGTTACTCGGAAGCCTATACAAATTAGCGGTTTTAGCCCAACCGTTAGAGACCACTTAAACGGGAAATGTGCTTTCTGTGTCCTGCCTGTTGCATAATGAAATGGTGAGGGATTGTACTGTTTGGCATGCTTTAAGAAGCGAGGACATCTCCATCCTGGGACGCTGCGATTTAATGGCTGCATTGTTTTCTTCGTACGCCAAATTCAAAGTGAAACCGCTGGGAGAAAAAAGGAAACAAGGTTCGGCGTTTCTTCAAGAAGCGACGTTTTACCTTGTTTTTTGTTTTTTCTTTTTTTTCTTGAAATAAAGATGTGACGGATCATACTGTATAGAAAGAAGCTATAATAAAGCACGATATAATCGAGCGACTGCGGGTGTCCCTTTTCTTTACTCCCTCTATGCTTTTAATATAAGTTTAAATCTCATTTTTGCTTGAGATTCGAAATGACATTTGAAATGTCTAAATTACCTCGAATGTGTGTTGCAAACGTATTTTCCATAGAATTAGTGTGTAAGCATATCTATGTGCATTACATTCTATCAGAGAAACTTCCTGATGAGCATAAAAAAAAAAAAAAAAAACTTGAAATTGCCTCAAGTAAGTTGTTTATCACGAATATTAAAAAAGTAAAAATAAACGACATTATATTAGAATTGTTAGGGTGACGGCGTGGCATCATACTGTAATAAATCTAATGTAGGAAATTTAAAATTCGCTTTGATGTCCTAGAGCAGGAATCATTTCAAAACTTATATGAATAAATCTTCGTGTCTATTTCAAAAATTTTATAACCTTTCAACACCGATATGCATGCGACATACGGAACGACCCAGATTTGCTTTTCCACCTTTGTTGTTTCAAAAATGACGAAAGGTAAAATACGAAGAGTATGTTTTAACCTAATGTCTGCAACGAACGATATAAAACCATTATTTAGGGTTCTTGATATATATATATATATATATATATATATATATATATATATATATATATATATATATATATATATATATATATATATTAATGGTTAAATATTACATGAACATAATAAAATAAGCTTAGTGCGCCACATGCGCCCAACCCCTGTACACAATGCACCGGCCACTATTTTCAATTCGCTGTTGTATTGTACCGCGTTTAACGATTTCTGCCATCGCTCACCGTGCACCTCAATAAAAAGCGCCACTCTTCCGAGTCAGGAAATCTCGAGCCTTAAAACGCGAGAGGGCCAAAAAATAAAAAAAACAGCAGTTACAAAATCGATTTCAGATCACATATTCAATTTTTCAGACGTCACAAACGAAGCGAAGCCATCTTTGCGTCTTCGTACTTCCTAGGTTGCCCGTTTGCCCTTCGTCCCAACAAAGAACTCGGCGTCACCGTCACTGCTTGTTCCAAAACTTTAGAGGTAGCAGAAGTAATCAACAACGGTCGATGCACCGTAAGAAGCGCCAGCACTCAGCAGCGACGACGGTTGCCGCCGACGTAAAATTGAACAACAACAACGGTGCACATCGCGAACTGAGAATCAAGAGAACCTGCAGTAATACGGGACGCCGAGAGAAAAGAGTCTCTCTTTCCCGAAAAAAGGATAGACGTCATTATACGTTTGAAAGCCGATAGGGCGGGCCATTTCTAGAACCCACGTAATGCCTCAGAATTCGCTTAAGGCTCGAACACGCAGCCCCAGCTCGACAGCGATATCTTTTTCAACATACGACATGCTTTTCGTTCTGCGTCTGAAAAGTCTTCTACTACACCGTACTCTTCCATTGTTGGCGATTCGATTCGCACTCCCTCACCGCGGCATCGCGGCATCGCTCTCCAAAGAGCACTTTGTCCGAGCTTTTGAGTGGGGTCGAGAGCGAACTCCATAGCCAAGTGCGTACATAAAAACACGGACATTTAGCAACAGAGATGTTTACGAAACGTCGCGTTTGGATTTCAAAAACCGATTTTTGCTTTCGAAGGTGCGCAGATGGTGCGTGCCATGTGTGTACGTACCCAGTCTTGGGAGGCGTGCCGCCATCCATTGCGAGAACGACAAACTCGTGCGTGTCGGCAGTTTCGTAGTCGAGCTCGGAGATCAGCGTGAGGGCTCCCGTCACGTTGTTCACGAAGAATTTGTCCTGCAAGGATGCACGGAGACGCGGGTATTCGTAACAACTACAAGGAGCGTTTACAACCGCAATATTAAAAATAAAATAATAGCCTTTCAGTACAATAACTTGAGATGGAAGAAACAAAATTAACAACGCAGTCGAAGAGCATTATTGTTAAGGTATTTTTTCTAATTAAGAAAAAAAAAACACGAAGCTGAATTCCAAATTACTGTAATGCAATTATGCTTACTAGCTGGTAACATGTAAACAATATATTGTATTTAGGCTAGTAGGAAATGTTCCTAATAAATACAGCAACATCAGCGTTTCAAATCAATTGCCATTTATTGTTCTTGGCAATATTATGAGGATTAAACTCTTTTTTTACATACTTCTTACTGTGGCGCATCACTAAAGAAAAAACGCATTTCCTCCCCCTTTCTCCTCTTTCCCCCTCTTCCCAATGACATACAATCATTTGCAAAATTAACAACTTGTTCATTTTGCTGTCGTGTTATTTAAAGCAATTCGCAAGGATTATCTTGCAGTGGCCCGTTTAGCACATTATCAGTATAACATTGATACGATTGATTTAGGCAGATGCCATTAGACGACGACAACCAAGATTCTGTCTGACCTTACACTGACTTTTGTCTGCTTCAGTAGAGCACCCCCCCCCCCCCCCCAAACAGAACCTCATAGCCAAAAGGATATATATATATATATATATATATATATATACATTACTCCCCCTATAGAGTTCTAAAATATATAAAATGAAAACAGTAAGAGAGATTCTCAAAAAAACTAAATAAGTTAGGGATCCATTAGAAGGCAAAATGCTTTAGAGGCGACTCTGTTGCAAGTCCTGAAGGTCTGAGCGTCATTGAGCCTCCTCGTCTGTGCAATATTTCTGGCTTGAGTGGTGATTTAGGTCTCGCTTAAGTCGAGACGGAAAGCAGCCAATAGGCCGATGAAAGGAGAAGTACGGACCTCGGCTCCTTCGGTCATAAAACGAACGATCTGTCCATTGGGTCCAGCGTCGATGTCCCGTGCTCGGTAGAAGGCAGGCAGTTCGGTTCCCAGCGGGAGACTTTCCGGAAGTTCGAGGGCAAATTTCTCTGAAAGGAAGTTCGAGGACGCCCGGCTTTGAGTCGCCGCGCTCGGAAATTGAACCGGCTAAATTGCTCGCTCGCCGAAAGGGACTAGGATCCGCGATGGTTGATACGCGGATTGGAACTCCAAATGCGCTGCAGGAAGAGGCTTTTAAAACCACCCCGCCCGCGTAAAATGTGTTCCGGCTTGTTTGCTTGAAAGTCGGTCGTATTGTATAAGCTGCTTGAACGATATCAAAGCCCCTGAGGATTGCGAGCCCGTAAAAGGCATACTGATTATCGCAGTAATTATATAGATAGCATTAAAAAAATGAATGTTTTATGACAAAACTAATTACAGTAACATAAAACACCATATTCAGCGAATTCACTCATAAAACGACCGCAGATTTTATTTAAAAGGTTTGGCTTAATTTGAGTGCATCGAGTAATTAGGTCATATATTTTTTTTAATGCTTCACTTTGAAAAGTTCGAAGGAGTAACGAGCATTGGTGACCGGGTTATTAAAACGTTAAACCTTTCTCAATCCAGTGATGTGTGAATTGTATTTCTCTATTCTACAGTTTGTTTGAAATTAAACATTGAAATTTGCTCCTTCTTTTTGAATAGCCCTGTATTGCTCGGTCGAATACTTATTTCTTTGTTCAATATCCGTTTCGATTTAAAGAAGTGCGTAAAGATGTAGTCACCTTCGCCAAAGGACGGTGCATTGTCATTGATGTCGAGCACGTCGATAATGACGGGCACCGAGGTGTTGTAGGGCGTGATGGACTGGAGGTCCCTGGCGAAGACCTTGAGTCGGAACTGGACCTGGCTGTCGGGCGGGTCCCTGTCCACCTTGTCCATGAGCACGAGCTCGCCGGTGCTCGGGTTGATCCAGAACTTGCCCAGGTCGTTGCCTTCGCCGATCCAGAAGGTCACGTGCTGGCTCCCGGACGTCTGGTGCTGGTTGGTGGCGTTGAGGAAGCCCACGCTCTCGCTGCGCGTGGTGTTCTCCCAGATCCGGAAGTTGTACGAGGTCTGCTCGAAGGTCACCAGCTCGTCGTTCACGTCCTGCGGGAGCCGACACAGAAAGCGCGTAGGATGATTGAGAGGTTTTATCTGAGTTCACTTTTGTTTTGCGCTCCAATAATGATGTCTGATAGTGCGCCCGTGCCATGAGGGAGTTTTAGTAGATTGTTCGATACCTCCGATAATGACACAGTAGAGACTTTTAGTGGATTGTTTCTGTACCTTCGATACGCCGATAACAACACCCAATGACGATATGACGCATGCGCAAAGACGGCCGGAGAGTATACGGTATCGTGATCGGAGTCTCGGAAACGATCTACTAAACCTTTCAATTTGCGCATTCATCGTACCTTTATCGGGTATTAGGGAGTTCTAGGGAACCGTCTTTGCTCACCCGATTTGGTACGATTGGCCCTCTGGTACGAACTGCGCACATGCGAGTCTTCTCCAGTAGCGCATGCGCAGTTCGTGCCGGAGGGCCCATCGCGCATCTGACCATAGGGGAAAAAACGGTTCTCTAAAACTCACTATGGTTATCGGAGGTAGCGGAACGATCTAAGTAAAACTCTCTATTTTACATGGGCAAAGTTTTCGGGTGTTTCGGAATAACGATACGTCCCGGGAGAATCGTTTCGTAATATCGGAACTCTCGGGATGAGGACAGGGAAAGGGATGGGGGGGGGGGGGGGGGGGGGGATTACAGAGTTTTAGTAGATTTTTTTTTCTCGTTCCTACAGCGATTTTTGATACTGCGCCAGTGCCATTGAGCATGCGCAAAAGTTATCAGGTGTTTGTGACAAACGATACATCCTGTTAGAATCCTTTCTTGATTCCGACTATTGGAATGGGGTGATTAAGGAGCTTTCGTACATATTTGCTTTTTTTATCGCATTTTGATAACAATATTTGATACTGTCCTCGTGCCACGATAAATGTGCGAGGTTATTGTTTGTTTCCGGTATAAAGTACGTCCTTATAACTTTGTGATATCGGGACTATCAGGATTGGTTGATTAGTAACACAGAGTCTATATACGTTTGCATTCAGATAACGCTATCCGATACTGCGCCCGTGCAACTGTGGGTGCGCAAAATTATCAGGTGCTTCGGACACACCATGCTTCCTGGAAGCATAGTTTCCCAATATCGGAAATACCGGGATGCCTCAGGTGCAGCTGCAGTTTGCATTTAATTTGAATAGCATGTATATGTACAGTTAATTGTCTGGAACAATGGCTTTAAATCGGTATTTCGTGATACGAAATATGTTTTTTTTTAGGAAATTAAAACTATATGCAGGTTTTGTTTTATGCTTTGTTCTAAAATTCTGGGAAATAACACAATTTCCGCGTCAATGAGTGCGGCCCCACCTCTCGACCCAATAACGGACACAACCTGCATCTGAATAAACGAAGCTTATTAATGTTTTTTTTAGGTAACTCGCAAAAACAAAATGCCTAAATACTGGGAAAAGGTGAACCTCTGAATGATGTAAGGGTTTAATATCACCTCCAATTAAATATATAGAGGTTGAAAGAGTAACCCCATCCATCTTTTAGTTTTCCCAGAGGTCCAATAAAGCGTGCACGCACTTTTCTTTCTCGCGCATTCGTAACGTCTAAAACCGGTAAGCACGCTCGGTACCGAAATAACCCCACCAAGACATTTTTCCTCCACATATGTGAGCAAAAACCGCCGTGCAGCTTTCAGCCACGTCGTAGCGTCAGCGACGGTTGCTATGGTTACAACGCTCGGTGAAGCGACGCGAAGCTGTTTTTGCTCACAGTGGTTTCATTCCTTCGTTTTAATTTTTTTGACGACGAGTGGGGTCAGCTATAAAACTACTTGCCTGAACTCTGACGATGAGGTTGACCACAGGGTTGCCCATTGTGGCGGCCTGCGGTCCTTGGAACGGCCGGACGTTGAACGCGGCCACTTGGAGGGCGTACTCGGCTTGAGTCTCGTAGTTGAGTCGCTTGCTCGTGGTCACCACGCCGGTGTCCTCGTTTATGCCGAAGACGGCGTCGTCGTTGCCACCGATGATGCGGTACTTCATCACGGCGTTGTCTCCGGAGTCCACGTCCTTTGCCTGCGCGCAGAGGAGAACCAACGTTGATTTATAAGGATGAAAGACACGGAGTTGTATAAATTCATGTAGACGACTTGGCTTTTACATGCGTTTTCGAGGACGATTCTAAATTCTTCTGAATTTCATTCGTTTTGAGGCTTTATAATAGTTATTATGACTTATTTTTACAGTGACTGCACCCAATGCTCAAGCAGTCATAGATTGTCCGATGTTTCGACTGAGTGCTTTCATTTTAAGAACAAACCAGAGCTGCGTGACTGTATTTCTGGGCTTGTTCCGTATAAATTCCTACAATATCCGCCATTGTGTGAACTATGCAGAACTCATTTGCCAAGTTGTTAATCATTAGGTTTAATCACCGCATTTCTAGATATACTCAATAAAAATGATTATCGATATTGCCGAACCTGTATGTGTCTTTTCCAGATAATTAGCTGTCAGCCATGCACATGAGGATCATAAACATAAACAGATTTATGGAGGATTGGATGAAGGTGTTCAAGCGGTAAGATTGTTGTATCGCAGCTGAAAACGCGCGCAGCTCGGCCCTCCTTTTCCAGCTTCGTCTTCTTGTCCCTAACAATATCTCTCTCTCCCTCTATATATATATATATGTATGTGTGTGTGTGTGTGTGTGTGTGTGTGTGTGTGTAACACAGTGTTGTTCAAAAATTATGTTTTACTAGAAAACCACTTACACTAAATGTAAGTGGTATTTTGTACCTAAAGTGTTGCTTTACCATTTTTGGAAAGGTTCGGCCCATCCGCCAAACCATTGTCCCATCCTATTTACTGTTCATTTCTTCACCGCACTCGCATTGGCGCGGTATCAAAATTGCGATATATGTTTTATTATCAACTAACTAGCTGGTGGCTACGTTTCTTTAAACTCTTGAAAATACATCAGGAGACCTCGTACACTTAGGAAATATCTTTCTTTAGCTTTCTTTTTCTTTTTATTAACCTTTATAAAAATAGGGTGGTAAGTTCTCTATACGTGATACGTCTCTTACCTGACGGGCTTTAAAATTATACACCCTCTTTCGTCTAAGCTGAGAAAAAAAAAAATAAACTTTTTTTTTCTTTTTGTACGGCAGTTTGCTTTTTAGCGAAATTGGCGCAAAGAGACACACTCGCCTCTTAGAGTCTGATTAAATTTGGAGCCTAGCACGACAGCAACAAAACTCTAGCTGAAAGCGTTTCCACTCCACACAAGTTAGTAGTGTGGCTAGGAAAAGATAAAGACATCGTTTCGAAACCCAGCTATACGGTCCAACCGTTTTTATACAATCCCATTATCGGGCTGTTCTTTCGGTGAAATGAAATTATTATCCTCGGTATGAACACCGCTGCGGAGCTAAAACTAAGGGTTCTTCATTTAGAGTTGTGACTTGGCGGCTGTCTATATTTTTTCCAGACTTTATCTTTTCATACTGGAGAAAAAGTGGCGGCAGTGGCGGCTGTTGCGAGACTGTTGTTCCAAGTTCCTAAATTCTAAAAACGGTTCACCTATACTTCCTCTCACAAATATCCGCAGTGCAAAAAAAAGAACGGACGGGTGAGTCTGACTTTGAAAAGTGAGTTCCATGCACGACAAACAAAAATAATCCGGCTGGATATGTTCACACGCCTGCGCCTCTGTCTGTACTGAAGATATCTTTACGAGACGGAGAAAAATCACGGCTGCCACGCGCGTTCGGAATAATAACCCTTTCGGTCGACTCGAATGAACACCTTCTATGCTCCGAGAAACTGAGAGAGCGGAGAAGGCGAGAGTGCGTGGGGACGTGAAAACCATAGCCGAATATAAAGAGAGTTTGGCCATTCCTTGGGAAGTGTAGGAGGCAAATGAGGAGGCGCCATTGGCCGAAAGAGGGCTGGGCGTGTTTCAGGGCGTCTTCACAAATTGGAATGTGGCGATCGAAAAGCCAGAAATAATACCCTGGCGGTGGTCGCGAGAAACAAAATTAATAAGTGCGTCGGAGTAACTGACTGAAAATGTGGTACACGCGATGTTTCAATCACAGTCATCCAAAATCATGGTGAAACAGCGCAACTGGCAGAACGATCGACATAATCCGTACGCAAGACGCCGAAGGCCGGGATTCTGCCGTCCGAGCGGTCACTTACTGTGCGTGCAAAACAGAGTTCGAGAGGCGCATTCGTTTCTTACATCTGTTTGCATGATCATAATCGAAACATCACGTGAAACATATTTTCAATCATGAGCCCGTTTCCCGCTACCACCGCTAGGGTATCCCTTCGGCTTCTGGTTGGTCAAGAGAGCATGCCGTGTGATGCACGCCCTGGCTCTGCCCACTCCTTCCATTGACTCAGCTCTCTCTATACACGGCTCTGATCAGAACGCCGAGCTCTAGTTGGAATAATTAGTGGGTAGACCTAACGCACTCGTCGAACATGTTAGAGTGCGTAACGCTGGCTCTCCCATTCGAAGATGTTTGACGACTGCAGTGGAGACAAAGGCAGCCTTTGTCTGCACTGTGCTCGTCGCACGTTTTAGAACGCGGAACTTCGGCGTCCGTTTGTCGTTTGGCTCTCGAATTCAAGCGCGTTCGACGCGTGTTGATCACACAAAGGCAGCTAGCTCTAAGCCTACCCACTACTCGTTCCAACCAAAGCTCGGCGTTTTGACGTCCGCGCTCGCTCTCGTCTCCCCTTCTCTCTCAGTTTCCAGTCGCATAGTTTGTTGCAGGTTTCAAATAGCAGGAGAAACCCCTCCCACAAAGCTCTCTGCTCGACATGATTGTTTCCTCGCCTCCACTTTCCTCCTCACCAGCGTTGGCTCTGCTAAATTGGAAATACTGTGTGAAGAGCTTTTCCTGCCATTCTAAAACCTGAAACACACAGATATTTTGTTCACTGCCTCCTCTTTCTGCATGCTCTACGACGGCGCCAGCTCAACAATTCGTTCCGAAACCGACACCGATCGCTCGCCGTTGCGTTGATTGGACACGAGTCCCTGCCAAACGCTGACGCCACACTGGTGTCCAATCTATGCCCGCGTTCGGCCGCAGTGTAGACTGGATACACGCTCCCTCTATGTTACCGTATTCCGGCCTCTCCAGTCAGGCATGAGAGCGCGAATGGTTGCAATACGGCACTGCCACATATTTGGCTGGAAGCGCCACTGGGTGGCAGTGAGCAGCGCCGCAGCGCAGCCGTAATAAGTGACAAAATTTTTGTGGCGATGCGGTCGAAGGTATAGGAGCGAGTGCTTGGGGGCCTGGTGGATTCGACACAGCGCACAAGAAACGAAGACAAATAAAAGGATGTATGTACACAGGACAAGCACTTGTCTTGTGTACACTCTTCGACTTCATCTTCTTTTCTTGTGCGCTGTGCCCAATCCACCAAGCATGGACCATCTAACCTGCTTCGCCACCCTAATTCAGCTTGAGAGCCGTTTGATTCATCTTGCTCGGTCTGTTCATAATCCTTTCGGTGACCCAACACATCTACCATTAGCTTTCTGCTTGGGGCACATTCCGACCACTTCCAAACATGTTCTCTCCTGGCTATCTTAGGCGCAGGCTTTAGGTCCTTTGAAGACCCATACAGCATGTCAGCATGGCACCAGGGACCAGTTGTTTACGTGGTATCCCAGTTCATAATCCCTCTCTTTAAAGTGCCTGCTCCACACAACCATAGATGAACATATGTCGTCCGCAGCAAGGTTCTCCCCTTTGTATCCTCTCTTTACGGGCAGTACTTAGCGATTCATCGCTGGGAAGCTGGTGAAAAGACAAGCCAGATATTTTTGCCGATGTTGAATTTCAAATTGGGACACGACAATAAACCATTGGGCCACCACGCGAAACGGAGCCCGTCAAGCAGCACGTGGAACAGTGGGAATAGTTAGGCTGCAGCTCCCCCACACATAAAAAGGCGAATGATTCATCCCGCGAAGGAAAATGTAACATTAGAAAGAAGCGCGCCAGTTCAGTCCGGCCGTGAGACACCATTCGAATGTTTACAAATCCACAGCCCAGCGTGCAATCTCCACAGCCCAGCCTTCGTATGTTCATCGCCTTGCGGAAAACGAACAAAGCGTGCGGCATATGAGTATAAACGCCTCAAAACGGCGCCGGCCAGCAGTCCTTTATTGGAGCTGTCTATACGGTGACCCCCAATATTCGTTGAAGTAAATTTGCATATGTTTGGAACCAGGATAAGTTTTGCAACAGTTCTCCGACTGCGCTCATTGTTTACCGGTCGGAGAGAAGAACTATGTTTGTTCAGTGTTATTGGAAAGTATCATTCTACCTTTTTGCTTTAATTTCATTGCGTGCATTAGTAGTCCGTGTCGTGAATATTGCCACGCGCGTTGCCAAGCGAGCGCGTGCATGGCCGAGTGGTTAGCCTGCTTGGCTGTCGCGCGAAGGATCCGGGTTCGATTCCACGGAGCGGAGTGTTTTATTTATTCTTTCTGCTGGGCGTTCTCGTAAGTTGGAGAACATTCTCGTCCGATCCAGTTACGAATGTTCTAGAAGCCGAACGTTCTAGGCCGAATGTTCCAGAGAAACACGCGGGTACAAAAGGTGCTCCATGTGGCGAGCCGGAGTCAGTCTCGCCCCAGCGTTCGACTCTGCTCTTACGCCGACTTCGACGCCGACTTCGACGCCCTCGACGCTCTGCTGTTATCTTTGTTTGTTTCTTTTTTTTTTTTTTTTTGGGGGGGGGGGGGGCGCAAGTTCGCCCTATTAAACGTTCAGTTTACTAAGTCATTCGCCGCCTCATCACTTGTCATTCATGACAATATAACTTTTTTGATTCTGTATGCGGTACGGTGATGCTTCTGCAAATCATATTTTCATAAATGTTAACAAAACAAAACGTATAATACTATTTTATCACATAAAAAAGCTTACTACATTTGCAACCATGTGATATCGCCAAACAAATATATGAAATTCCGTTTATGCCAAGTAAGGTTCATATAACCTTGTCAAAAAGCACGCACTGTAAATGTTAACCACTAA